AATGGCCAGACGGAAGCCACTCCCTGCCTGGAATTTGCCGAAGGGCATCTGAAGAACTCTCAGACCAAAAGAAACAAAATTCTCTGGTCTGATAAGACTAAAATTGAACTCTTTGGACTGAATGCTAGGCTTTACGTTTGGAGAAAACCAGGCATCGCTCATCACCAGGCTAATGCTTTCCCTAAAGTGAAGCATGGTGGTGGCAGCATCATGCTGTGGGGATGTTTTTCAGCAGCAGGAACTGGAAGACTAGGATAGAGGGAAAGATAAATGCAGCAATGTACAGAGACATCCTGAATAAAAACCTGCTTCAGGGTGCTCTTGACCTCTAGGGCCATCTTCCAGCAGGACAATGACCCAAAGCACACTGTCAAAATATCAATTGAGTGGCTTCAAAATAACTCAGTGAATGTCCTTAAGTGGTCCAGTCAGAACCCAGACCTAAATCCTAATGAACATCTCTGGAGAGATCTGAAAATGGTTGTATACTGTTGCTTCCCATCCGACCTGTTAGAGCTTGAGAGGTGTTGCAAAGAGGAATGGGCAAATATTTCCAAAGACAGGTGTGCCAAACTTGTGGCATCATATTCAAATAGACTTGAGACTGTAATCGCTGCCAAAGTGCATCAACAAAGTATTGAGCAAAGGCTGTGAATACTTCTGTACATGTGATTTTTCAGTTTTTTTTTTTTATTTTGAATAAATTTGCAACAATTTCAAAAACTTTTTTCACATTGTCATTATGGGGTATTGTGTGTAGAATTTTGAGGAAATAAATAAATGTAATAATTTCATGAATAAGGCTGTAACATTAAAAAAAAGTGGAAAAAGAATGCTATGAAAGTTATAAAAGCTATTTTCCGAACACACTGTATAACCAATTTCTTTATATACTGTGTGGTTTTAACGCAAGCTATTTTTACATTTTATTTACACTTGTGATTTGGTAAAGTTAACCATCCAAGTCCTATAATGTCTCTTTCTTCAGTCTTAACAGCGCGATTAGCTTCTCTGACCTGTGTGAATGAACTCTGCTGTAGTATTTAGTGACACCTGGTGGGGTATCTGCAACATGTCAACAGATTCGGGCTCGAACGAATCATTTTACATAATTGAATAACTCACCGGCTGTTTACTCTAGATAACTGCACAAGCTTGCATCGACAACTTTTCCCCTCCGGCCTCCAAATCCTCAACGCCTGTAATTTCAAGCATAATGACACAACACACAAGCACCACACTGACAAAACAACCGGCTATTATATCAATGAGTGAAATATTTATTTAAAAACTGAAAAATAAAACAAACCCACACATAGTTTTAGTGTATATATATATATATCATACAAAGATATTCTCCAAAATGTTATTGAGCGGTTTTGTTTTGTTTTCATTAACAAAAGTGAGAGGCAGTTTAGAGGCTGGCTGAGCTGGTAAGACTAGACAACCGAGTCTAAATGGTGAAATAAACCAAAACTTGAAGTGATGATCAAACTCCAACAAAACGGAAATTAAATACCCAGTGTAGCAACTTAGCATAACAGCTGAAGCAGTGCAACGAGTGAAACAATATGATGGTATTAAGACACAACATAAGGGATATACAGTATATATCATATCTCAATCACACGGCATCCACCCAAACATTATATTAGAATTAAACAACATATGCACACACACACACACGCACTCACACACACACTCACTCATGGTTTACTCAACTGTTTAACTTGAGTCTACAGGAGGACTCTAAACTCAGTCATGTCCTAGTGTGTAGTTTCTGACTGGTAGTTTGTGGAGAAGTTGAGGTAACCATGGTTTGTAGATGATGTCCCTGTGTCCGGCTGAGCCCTGCTGAGAGAGAGCTGTGCTGCTGGCAGACAGTGATGGTCTAAAGGCTGTGTGGTCTACATTGCTTTGACGGAGGTGGCCTCTTGAACCCAACATACTTCATCATTTTCATGTATCTTCATTCTGGGTGAATCTCATGAAAACAGTCAAAAGTGTCTTATTTATAACACACAGAAAAAAATTATTATATTTTGCATAATGAAAATTAAGCCTGCATTTAGATGCTTACAAAAATGAACATTTCACCCATAATTTATGACTATAAATGAAATAACACTTTATAATTGTAAGGTACACTGATACATTTATATTCTGGTAGTAGTTGCACTGTAATAAGAAATAATGACTTTTTTTATGCAAAATAAATCAAAGTTAAACAGAGACCCTCAAGGGAATGCAAATGAGGAAAAAACTATTGAAGGAAAATAAATTAAGCACTCAAGAAAATGTTCTCTCATACTAACGACGACTGCACTTGTTAAACTTTGACTTTTAGGGCAGGGATTTTGGCATTTGTTTGTAAAGCATTTTTTTGCATTCACTCACAAAATGGGTGCAAAACGTCTGCAATAACTCGCAAAACGTTTTATGCAGACTGAAATAAAAGTCTGCCAACAAACTCACAAATACTCTCACTTTTTCTCTCAAATATTCTCAAATATTTCTCCTTTTTTTTTAAGGAGAAATGTCTTTGATAGGAAAACTTCTGCAAGTTCAAACTCTGTATTCATCAAAAAATGCTTCCTTCCCGGAGAAACTTCCAAGATTTGTGCTAAAAAATGACAAAAAAAAAAGTGAAAAAGTTTGCGTTTCCTTGATAAACTGGATTTCACTCGATTTCACACACAAAAACATCACATTCTTTGCCAAAAATTCAGCTTATCCTAGAGAAAACAGCATTCTGCAAATGTTTGCATTTCCTAGAGAAACTTTTCATACATTCACAAAATCTCTCAGCAAACTTTTACTTTTCCCTCAAGTTAGCATTTCCCCACAAAATCAGTTTCCCTAGAGAACCCCTGCATTCATTCACAGAATGATGGACCTATTGCTTCAAGATAGTCTAAATGCACACACAACCTTTGTATTCTCCAGAGAGAAAACCCTTTTTGTATCTAGAAAAGAGAAACACATTTTCTCACAAACCTCCTACATATCCTACAGCAGTGTATCTCAACCACGTTCCTAGAAGACCACCAGCACTGCATGTTTTGGATGTCTCCTTTGTCTGTCTCACCCATTACAACTTTTTCAGTCTCTGCTTATGAACTGATGATGTAAATCAGGTGTGTTTGATTAAGGAGACATGGAAATTATGCAGAGCTGGTGGTCCTCTAGCAACATGGTTGAGAAACACTGTCCTAAAGCACAGGTCTCAAACTTAATTCCTGGAGGGCCGCAGCTCTACACGGTTTTGCTCCAAGCCTAATCAAACACAGCTGATCCAAATAATTGAGGTGTTCAAATGAGTCTTAAACACAGCTGATGACACTAATCAAGGGGTTTAATTAGGGTTGGAGCAAAACTGTGCAGAGCTGCGGCCATCCAGGAATTGAGTTTGAGACCCATGTCCTAGAGAATACGTCTCAAATTCAATTCCTGAAGGGCCCAAGCCCTGCACAGTTTTGCTCAGACCCTAATCAAACACAGCTGATCAAACTAATCAAGCTGTTCAAGACTCTTTGAACACCTCAATTATTTGGATCAGCTGTGTTTAATTAGGGTTGGAGCAGCAGCCCTCCAGGAATTGAGTTGGAGACCTATGTCCAAGAGTGAACGCACTTGCTCGCAATACTTTTGCATTCCTGCAAGAATCGCATTGAGTCGCAACATTTTTTGGGATGAAAACAATGTGGAGAGAAAATGCTGTGAATGCAGTTCCTTAGGTGAGCATAATACTTCTGTGAGACAACCCTGAAAATCTGAGAGCAAAGTTTCCCAGAGGAATGCAGCTTTTTGCTAGAAAACACTGCAACTTTACCTCCAATCATACATTTTTCCACATCACCGTATTCCCTTAAGGGCTCTGTACAGCTTCTTCTTTCTTTAGATATCCACCAAGCTGGAAAAGGGAAGCTCACGATACCAAACGAACACAGCAGACTTGAACAAACACAGGGATAGGCTACATCTGTTCTCACACCACACACGCTTCTACTGATTTCATGATCTCGCTTCTCAATACCAAACGACAACTGTAAAACACGGTCCTAACGCTACTCAGATCACAATTTTAAAGGTCTTTTTGAGGGAATGTGATCCTTGACCCTTTTCCCTTTTGGAAGGCACGGATGTCTCTCCTCGCCTCGGTGTGAAGGGGTGCGCTGATGAGGAGCTGGAAGAAGACAACAGGAATTAACAGATATTGTCCTATTAACAGCGTGTAAACCGTACGAGACCATTGTATAGACCCTTACTAATACAATATGGTGCCTCATCTACCTGTGCTGAAGAAACTATTACCATAGAAAACCATCAGCTCTAGCCCGATGTGAGGTCTCACATAAACAGTCAGTTCATATTCAGTCATGGACTTGAAGTTGGTGAAACGCGTCGTTAGATGAGCTATTGAGGAGTTTTGTCCCTAAAAGTGAAAACAGTGAAACAGTTCAAAGCCTGTGGATTAAGTCTATGTAGGGTTTCTTATAAAATTAATGCCTAATCAAGGGAAAAGTGAACATAAAAAAATACTGAATCCAGAAAAACTCTGTTGAGTTTGCTAGTGTTTTCAGGTTAGTCCATAGTGGGTCATCAAATACTCCATCCAGCGCTCGCTTTTTAGTCCAAAAACCCAGACGAGGATGATCCTACATGGCATTAAGGAATGCGTTTGAGAGCTGGAAGTCGCACACCGCTGCTGTTTGTGAAAGGGTGACAGCGCAGTGTCACTTCCTGCAAAATGGGGTGACTCACCCTTGTGCAGTGCATCATGGGATGTTTCATGATGAGACAGGATTGTTCTAAACAGTCACGGATGGGGAAGATACTCCATTTCCATAAAAGGCGGAAGAGGAAATGAAACACTCGGACAGTTCAGCGAGCCTGTACTTCCCTCTTTGTCCACTAGATGGTGCCATCCACTTCCTTCTTCATTTGTGGCACACTATCCTCACACTCCTCGCGTCTCCACAAGCAGGGGAGGGAGCAGGTTAGAAAAAAAGCACCTTTTATTTGGCTTTAATGTACAATAAAGTAAATCAAAAGAGTTAAAAAGTACAATAAAAACGGAGAAGGGAAAGAGTGTGTATATAAAGACTTCAAGCGCCCAATCTGTAGGGACGCGGTTCAGAACGGGACGAGTCTCAACCCGTTCCTGCAGACAAACAGAAAAGAGAAACAATTACCTAAAAGCAAACTACCATACACCCTTCAGCTTAACCCATTAGCCAACAACACCAGTTAACTTAACCCTTTAGCATTAGGCCTGAAATCTCCACCCACCCTTCCTGTATATCCCAGGATTTTTTTTTTATTTGTTTGTTTGAGGAATAAGCATATTTGTTGACAGAGAGCTCGGGCGTCTTACCTTCCTCCTCGCCTCCCCATCCTTCCGCGACGCCCGCAAGCTCGTAATGCTTCTTCCTCAGTTCACCCAATCGCTCTCTCTCTTTCTGCAGCCGCGTCTCTAGCTCCAACACCAACACCTGACACACATGAAATGCTCAAAATATGTTCACAGAGACACCATTTACACTTGAGATGCATTTCATTGACCAACAGATAAATGGACAGCAGATCCTCTGATAGACACAGATTTCAAACACACCAGGATCCATGTATCAGTGTTCACACTTAGAAAAAGAATGGCGAAGCAATTAGTGGTGCAGTCTAATAGTGGAAGATGAGGAAGTTTTGACATCCCCGTAGGAAACATATTAGATCATATTACTTTTCTAGTGTAAACACTCATACAATCTACTCTCCATTTTTCTGGATGTGTTGTGGGAAAACACATTTAAATGAGGTATTTTTAGTTTGCTGACTGTGTTGTACCAAAATAACTGTATTATCATTCAAATCCCAATTACATTCCAACAACTCACCTACTGTATGAGCCACAACAAGGGTTCATTCATTTAACAGTACTTGTGCACTTAACTGAGCACTCGTGTGATGTAGAGTGTGATGAAATAAGAGGGAAGGGTCCTGACAATATCACATAAAAGACCCATCTGAACATCTATGTAGACCAGGTGGAAACAGTGATGCATTTTGGCTGACAACTTGTAGTCACATCACATAAAATGCATTTGAATGACATATAAGCACAAACATAGAAATCAAGTCATCACACTCACCTGTGCATCCATCTCTTGCCTCTTGATCTGGGTGAGCGTCATTGCAGAAAAGTCCATTGTTTCTGAAAAACAAGCGAGATCTCTGTATTAAGTACCTATGTGAACAGATTTTTGGGCTTTTAACGCATGTCTAAACGTTTTCTTGTATAAATGTAGTTTTGGTTCAGTAAAATTATCTATTGATTAAGAGTATGAATAATACCCTAATCCTGTTTTGTTGTGATGTGAATTAGGCTACTGGCTTTTTGAAAAGCATAATAAATAATATTTATTATAGAGGTAATGTAGACAAAAATTATGTTTTTTTTTCCAAAATTAAGTAGTCACAACTTTTTTAAATTCACTATTCATTATATTAACTGTAATGAATATTTACAGATATATTATAATATTACCTACAATAACTGAATTTAATTGTCATTTAAATCAAAATTTAATAAAAATAAAATAAAAAAATATACACCAACATTTTCATAACATTGAACATAGGTTAAATAACATATCGCCAACATGTTCAGTAAAATATAGTAAAGTATAACCAATGTGCATGCTATTATAATATTAAAAAAATATATTTTTCTTTTCTTGTAAATAAACTATGCAGAATGACGTGCCTGAAGTAAATAAACGCAATGCAACATTTTATTATGTGCCGTTTATTATTTTTCTCTACAGCAGCTATGGTGGAATCTACATTGTGTAAAATCACTAAAGGGAAAAAAAGCTGTTTTATTGATGTGTTTGTTTGTTCAAACACTGATTGAGCAATTTCATTAAATCTTTATTAGGTTTGTTTAAGTTCTATATGTAGTACTAAGTCACGTTACTGCACACAAATGAAAAAGCAGCATATTCCAAACAGTATTTGAATTTAATAAACTTTAATTTGAAAGATGATACTTTGTTTCTCATCAAAAGGAACCAAACTACAGGTGCACTATGTTGCAATAATGTCAAGTGAAGTTTTATTGACACATCAAAAGAATCAACAGAGATTAAAATATTGATTTGGAGGTTTAAGAACTGATTTTAATTTGTTGAAATAATAATAATAGATAATTCTAAAGTTTCTTATTATAAAGATTATAAAGTGTTTATAAAAAGTGTTATAAAAATATAAGAAATAGAGTGCATTATAAAATATTATATAAATATATATATATATATATATATATATATAAATTGAAAAAAAAAAAATATATATATATTATACACATTTTGAACAAAAATACCTATCCAGAATGCGATACAAGTACCATTATAATTTAGTAAATATGAATATTTAATTCTATGATATTTTAATTTTATAAATCCTGTAAAAATGTTGGGTTCCACACAATCATGGAATTTGTGTTGGGAAAACATGAAGGAATTAAGATAACAACTTGTTATTCATTCATTCATTTTCTTGTCGGCTTAGTCCCTTTATTAATCCGGGGTTGCCACAGCGGAATAAACCACCAACTTATAAAGCAAGTTTTTACACAGCGGATGCCATTCCTGCTGCAACCCATCTCTGGGACACATCTACACAAACATTCACACACACACTCATACACTACGGACAATTTAGCCTACCCAATTCACCTGTACCGCATGTCTTTGGACTGTGGAGGAAACCGGAGCACCCGGAGGAAACCCACGCGATGGCAGGGAGAACATGCAAACTCAACACAGAAACGCCAACTGAGCCGAGGTTCGAACCAGCGAACACCTTCTTGCTCTAAGGCGACAGCACTACTTACTGCGCCACTGCCTCGCCCTGATAACTTGTTAGTTTTTACAAATTGAGCATAAAACAATTAAGTTGTCCCAAAAACCTCAAGAAAATTGTTGTTTCAGGTTAACTGAAATAAGTAGTTTGAATTAGGGCTGCACAATATATAGTTTATACATGCAATGTTGAGCAAAATTTCATTTGACTATATTGTTTCTAGTCCAAATATCTACATTTCAAAGCGAAAAAGGAGATTATTTTACTCCCCCCATGGTAGATAATTTTACTTGTTTTAATTAAAAAAAACTCTTATTTTTTTTTAATTTTTAATTTTTTACTTCATTTAAGAGTTTTTTGATATTTGGGCTAGAAATGAGACAAAATAGTAGTAAGAACAGTATTGTGTAGGGCTGTAACGATACACCAAACCCACGATTCGGTTCGTATCACGATTTTTGACCCACGATTCGATTCGTATCACGATTTTTTTATTTTATTTTTTTCGTGTGGAGTGGGAAAAAAAAGATTTTTAAAACTATTTTTAATTAAATAACATTTGAAAAATCTTTATAAACTAAACATCAAAGAACAATATTAACTATGCAAATTATTAACAATATAAATAGCCATATATAAATAAATAAATAGCCAAAGCTATATCACTTCTGTTTTCTTTGTAACAAAATACTGTTGAAAAACCAAACTAAACTCCATTGTTTAGATGGTTCAAGCATGTTGAAAATTATTTTTCAATCAAGTTCTCTTGCATAGAAAAAGTAAATTAAATAGCTAGGGATGCTCATTTCGTTAATTTTGCTAACTGACAACCGCCGCTCATTAATCGGTTATTAACGGTTAACTGGTCAGATTACTATTAATTTTATATTAAACAAATTGACGTGTCTATTTTGTGTATGACACATTAAATATTGCATTTTAAAATACTGATTTATTTTTATATGTTAGCATATTAATAACAGAACAGAACAACAGAGCATCTTCACGCACCTGCAGTGTTTAGCACAGAATAGCAGAATAATCTAAATAAAATGAATAAAATAAATAGGACTGCCCTAAATTATTTTCACTTAAATAATTAATTTATTTTACAAAACGAAAATACTGACTGATTCTTTTTAATAACCGGGATAGGCTTTTTTTCCAATCATATGTTTATTTCTTCCGTCAAATAAAAATCGCAGACTTCCTCAAATTGCTCGCTCCACGGAAAATATGCATTTATTTAATGCCCCGCTGTTATTATTATAATCACAAAACCTTTTACATTTTAATAGAAATCCTTATTTTAAAGATTATGTCCTGATATAGCCTATGGTTTCCTCTCTCTCCCTCGCGGTTCAAGTGCGCGCGCTGCCTGATATGTATATGTAGACTTTTTGTAAACAGTTTGTTTAAATATGATATTGCATTAATCTGCGTACATGCTTTAAGCTGTAAAATAAAAAGTAAAGCCTATTTGTTGCGTTTATTGCGCAGATCCAGGTCAATATAAGCGTTGGTTTAGTATCAACAGGTCTGTATCAAACAGCAATATTCTTCTTCCATTTTGCTTCTTTAACAAATGTGTCTGTAGGCACGGGTTATACGTTATCGTCCCGCAAATTAAGTATGCCTTGCAGTTAAACAAGTGGCCGAAAACAAGGCGGACCTCACTGCCTATGTTGACAAGGAAAAAAGAAGAGGCTCGGTCCTCTTATAAACGACTGAATCAGCTGGGTATCGATTGTGCAAAAGTGTTGCTGTCTGTGTTGTTACAATTGTAATATTTAATACTATTGTGATATTCAAGATTTGTATATTCATACAGCTCTGGATAACTTAAAACAACCATTAGACCTTCAGAGCGGTGTTAATGCGTCCTGAAGTAAAGCGAAACGGCTATAAACTCCAGCAAGATAGAGTGATTATATGCAGAGCTATACTTTATCTATAAATAAAGTATTCTATAACTATGAAAACTGTGTTTATTTTAACTGAAAGCTTCGTTGTGTTTTCTGACCTCACGCACCTGTCAGTCAGCACTCCCAAAGGTTCAAACAGAAAGCGCACTGCACGGTTACAGAAAAGTTTGCTGTTACCTGACATCTGGTAAACACCCATCCCTCTCTGCGCAGCCACATTAACAGTGTGAGCAAATCATCGTATATGCGCTGAAAATCCGGCCGCTTTGACAGCATTGGCAATGTTTCTGGCGTAGTCGGTTGTCAAGCGGGGTTAAGTTGGTTTTGTTTTTGATATTCTTGACACATTCAGACGGCCCCTTACTAAGAGCTCCGTGCGAGCTCTCCCGGCTAAATATTGCGAGGGCTTAAACGGAGCAGTGCTTGTAATGTCGAACGAAAAAAAGTGTTAATTAGCTCAACTTTTGCAGGCACGCGTTATTGGAAAGGTATTACGGGGTGGGTGTGTCGCGATTCTTCCTTATTACACCGCGACACAGGATCGTAGATCTGAGTGTCGTGATTTCGATTTTATATCGTGTATCGTTACAGCCCTAGTATTGTGATTAATTAATTTCTGTACCTGAATACTGTTAGACAAAAAACATCAAACAGTGCTACTACAGTTCAAACTATCTTGTAAAACTGAATTAATATTGCAAAATCATCACAGAAAAATAAAATGTTTACAAAATCTAATTTTCAAATAGCGCTAGTTTGAATAAATAGCAAACATAATTTTATTGAGTGTACATTACATTTGAATTAATTCCTGTGTTGCCACAGCAAAATCTTCAGACAGTTGCATACAGCACATTTAAGCAAATACATTAGATCATTAATGTAATTCATGCAAACTGACTATTCGCATACCGTCCATTGATCGGTTTGCCATTTTGAACATCAAGATCAAAGAATCTAAATATTTACTAGCTGAGTCTAAAACATCAACAAATCGACTACTGGTTTGCATATGAAAGGACACACACAATGTCACTGAATCTATGTGACTGGTCAATGTTGTTTAAATCAGAGAAGAGCCAGTGCGGAGGAGGAGAGCCTGACTGTGCACAGCTTTTTCCTGCATCTCTGGAGGGCACCATAAACCAGTTTCCTTGGCTATAGTTAAATATGAAATAGGGCAATGTGACTGCGGAGGTCATTGAGAGCAAAATGAGGCTGCTTTTACTTTTACTATATTCATTTAGCCCTTATTTATTTATCTTCAGGATATTCTGCGAGCCATAATCGAATCTAAATTTCCCACATGAGCAGCATAACTCAATGTGTCTGGGAATGAGGATGGATGTGCTCACCTGTATCCTCGATCTGAGACTTGCCGGACTTGGTTGATGCCACGACCCCCGCGGTGGCCTGGGTGACCCCTTTAGAGGCCTGCTGGAGACGAGAAAGGTTTGAACTGCCCTTTTCCGCTTTAACCTGAAGGAATGCAATAGATCATATATCATTATTAGCATCATGTGGTGTCATTACTTTGCTTTAATGTTAATTAAATCTGTGCTGTACCTTAGATGCTGCCACCAGTTGAGCTGTGCTGGCGGCTATTTCATGCGAACACACCATTAGCTCTTCAAACTTGCCCTTTCCTTGCACCACCTGATCAGCAGCATCACTGCAGGAAAACATAACGTCATTATGGTGATGGTTCATAGATCAGTCGGTGTAGGGTTTAAACCTCTTTTATGTCCACAATGCAGAAAACGAGAAAAGAATCCCAAAAACCAATCCTTCAATATTCAGACAATAACTGGATGGATGAATAAATGAAATGTGGAGTGGTAAAATAATCAAATTTTGAATTGAAAAAAGCAAAAAATATATATAAAGTCAACATTTTCTGCAAATATGAAAGAATATTTGTGAGGTTGATGTTATTAATTATGTATAGGCTGCACGATATTGAAAAACACGTACAGTTGAGGTCAGAATTATTAGCCCCCTGTTTATTTTTTTCCCTAATTTCTGTTTAACAGAGAGAAGATTTTTTTCAGCACATTTCTAAACATAATAGTTTTAATAATTCTAATTCTAATTCTAATTTCTAATAACCTTCTGATTTTATCTGTCATGATGACAGTAAATAATATTTTACTAGATATTTTTCAGCTTAAAGTGACATTTAAAGGTTTAACTAGCTTAATTAGGTTAACTAGGCAGGTTAGGGTAATTAGGCAAGTTATTGTATAATGATGTTTTGTTCTGCAGACTATTGAAAAAATGTAGCTTAAAGGGGCTATTAATTTTGACCTTAAAATGGTGTTTAAAAAAATAATAACTGCTTTTATTCTATCTGAAACAAGTAAGACTTACTGGACATACTGTGAAAATTTCCTTGTTCTGTTAAACATCATTTGGAAAATATTTTAAAAAGAAAAAAAAAAAGAAAGGTGGCTAATAATTCTGACTTCAACTGTATTAATAAATAATCGCAACAAAACAAAATATCGCGATGTAAGATTTTTCCAATATCATGCAGCCCTACTTTGAATGTCAAAGCACTCTGTGTTGCAAGCATTAGCATCCAGGAACCTGGCTTCCACTTGTACGGTGGCTCTGTATTGTCAAAATACCACTCAAAATGTTTGCTACGAATGGAAATTAACGAATCAATAAAAAAAAAAAAAAATCAAACCTATTGTACAATTTTTATGACACAAAAGTTTTAGAGGCAGTGTGTAAATATACAGTAATTGACACAAGGTGAAGTGAAATGCATCTTTTAATTTGCAAAAATTTTAATAAATTTGATTCATGTTTATTCATTAATTTCCTTTTATGAGCCTAAACTCCTAAATGAAATGTACTCTGCACAGTTATTGTCATCTCATACAATTGTGATTATATGAAATATCTACAATTAAATGTTGTTGTTTTTGTTAAATTGTTACAGATTTGCGTATCGTAACATTTCTCAAAAACAATTTTCAGTTTGTTTGTTTGTTTGTTTGTTTGTTTATTGCCACATCAGTACCTTGTGGCTATTCCATGTCAAGCTCAACATACATCCCCTCAATTTCTGAAATACTCACACCAACATGGTTGCGCCCCAGCCCACAGCTTTCGAGGCAGAAATGAGACCCTCGGTCCATCTGGAATTTTTGGCGTAAAACTCCTTCATAGATGCAGCTCCCTGTAAGCACGCAAGAAACTTTAGAAACATGTTTTAAACTCAACACCAGCATGTGTTTTGCTCAAAGTGTTGGGTTCCCTCACCCTGCCGCTCTCCACAATGTCCCTCTGCAGGTCTTTGGAGGACAGAACTAACACTCTGATGGCCTGCATAAGATCTGTACAGGACGCCAAAATCCTGCAGGGGGCGACAGAAAGCAACAAATAAAGCCTGTTTAGCATGCGTCAGGGTGGGTCGGCTAATGCGTCTGGGGTGACAGTAAACACGCAGCACTATCCAAGTGAAAAAAAAGTGACATTTTCACAAATCCAATGAGAATTAACACTGTATTTGTATTCATAACACACATGTGGCTCGGTCAGTCTGACCTTTCATTGACTTCCATTTTGATTCCAGTGTCAACCGCCCTGGACTTATTGAGCATTTCCTGTGAGAGAGCAAAGGGGAAAAGCATTAGATGAGTGGACCGGAGCGCTTCATGTTTTATTAAGCATCGGTCTGAATGGGAGCCGTCTGATTACCTCAATCCTGGCGGCAGCAGACTCTACAGCTGCGGATGTGGCTGCCATCTCCTGCTCCACCAGATCTCCCAGCTCCCCCTGCTGCAGCTCCAGACCCCGAGGACGCAACTTCTGCTCACACAAAACACAAGAGGATACGAGCAAGAAATGGTTAGCATGCTTTGTTTACTGTCTACTATATATGCTAAAATTAGAAACATATAGCCAGAGCAAACTGTGTGGAGTACAGTAATGCAATTTGCTTGTTCCCACATTTACAGTTAGTGACTTCTAGCATCTCTTTCTTGTTTTTTATTTATCGGAGCATACTAATGATTAATGACTTACTAAATATTATTAAAATAATTATTACATTTAAAATCTTAGATTTAAACATTTGAATTTGCAAATAATGTACTTTAACAATTCAGTATTACGAAAGTTTGCCCCAAAGGATATGACTTCACAGGAGTTTATTTTTCATTTTCACTTTAAGCATATCATGGTCTTCATGATGTGTAATACTATATACATATATACCGTTTCACAATATAAAATCAATTACTGGTATTAAGTGTTGTTTTCATTCACTAAAATAGTACAAATTATTTACATTAAGTAAATGTGACATCAATTTAAATGGAAATATCAGATGTAAAACTAAAGCGAAAATGAATTTAGATGACACCTTTGCACCTGAGTGAACAATTAAATAATAAAAACAATTAAAAACAGTTTATTAACAAGTAGAAATCAAATTTAATTGAAAAATTAGATGTGAAACAGTCTTAGAAAATATAAAAAAACTTAATTCCTTGGCACCTAAGTAAAATAATGTTTAAGAGCTAAAATGACAATCGAAATTTAAACATACATTTTAAAAAATTAAAATGACAATTTAAAAAAACCTTCAAATTATGAAAATCAACAGTAAATTGAATAAAGAGGAGGAAAAGTATTACAAGATTTTTATTTTTAATTTAGAGCTTAATTAACCTATCAATAATCTAATTTGATGCAACTACAACATAACACAAAGTAACTTGATGTACAAATGCATCTGCTTAAAATTCATTATGATGGTAATAACTGTATGAATATATATTTTTTATCTTGGTATATTTGTTACTATTGTTTGTTTGTTTGTTGTTTTTTTTTTACAATTCCCTCATCTGTAAAGAGCTCATTTGTTGGGGAATAAGTAGGCCCACATGGAATCTGCATTCTCAGATTACCGCAGATTAATTTACTTGGGTAAATGTGTGTAAATTTTAATTTATTCAATTTTTATTAATTTTAGTAATATTATTGACTAATAGTAGTATTTATTTACTGTCTATTAGTAGATGTATTATATGAGAGACTTGTTTAGTTTATCAATTTAGTGGATCTAATTGGATTTGCATTGTAAATATTAAAGATAAAAAAAGTATTAATTATTATTACATATATTAAGTTTTTAGCAACAACACTCCAAAAACATCATTCAACATAAATCCAAAGTTTGTTTTTACAAAATTCTCAGCAGAAATAACTAAGAATGTAGGTAAGATTTTGTCTGAACCTAGAAATCCTAAATAAAATGTTACGGAAAAAGTAGTTAAAACCCGAAATATACAAATAAAAAGCCATTCAAAATATTAAAAGAAAAAAAAACACTGGACGATATACAGTATATGCTGTATAATATGCAGTAAAAAATACAGTAATACTTTATACCGGTTTTGGCAGATTATAAATCATTCAGGAAAAGTGTGCTAAAATGGTTCTTTCTGCTAACTACATTCTAACATTTCTTTTTAATCTATCGAAGATTTATTTTCATTACTTTGTGCCTTTATTTAGACTGAGCAAGACAGACTGGCAAAAAGTGAGAGAAAAAAATGGGGCAGAAATGAGGAAAGACCCCTAAGCAGATACTCAAATGCCCAAAACATATCAGAGTCCTGCCAACATTGCTGTTCAATCAACTGTTTTCTTAAACTAAAACCCAGACTGACTCTCACCTCGCCCAAGGCCTTGACAGAATCCAGTGCCGTCCTCAGCCGACTACAGTCTGCCGCCCCCATAGACTCCTGCTCCTTGAGCTGGCAGAGCAGCGTCAGGGCCTCCGCGCCACACGCCTTCACGCTGTCTGCCAATGCTGCCCACAGACAAAAAGCAGAAAGCAGTCAGACTAGCCATCTGTCACCTGCAGACACTCCACATACGCTCCGACAGACACATTTGCTGCAATGAATGACATGATTGCATTGTGCACGTGGGCACAGCAAATTAGCCGCTTTGAGTTATGCCATGCTCTTTAAAAGCAACTTGAAACCAAACCCCCAGACCCCCGGCGGCCAGTTATTAACAGAACCACAATGATTCGAATGACCCTTGTGATGTATGGAGAGCAACTTAAAGTCAGTTTCTTGGACGTCTCTACGTGATAATACAGTGCGGTTTTAAAATATTTAGCATTTTAATTTTAGTGAGTGCAATTATGCTACTTATATCAAAAGGGTAGTTGACATAGCTCAAATGTGCCACAAGTATCATTTTGATAATAGACCTACACAAATTCTCACAACACATGCAAATACAGAAACATGCTGCAAATAGTACAGACCACAATAGAAATGTGTTGGGAGACCCCAAAAACTGACAAACTCAGCAGTTTTGTCATGAGTGTTGTCTTTAGATCTGAGAGGTGACTTAATTCGTCAGATTACTAGAGCAAGCCTATAGACCTTTTTCTTAGAAAGCAAAATTTCCCATTATGCTTTGCGTGTATGCGTAAGGAGGATGCTTGATGCGTAATGATCGCTTTGAAACGATAGTTTTAATCTACTTTACTTGCTTTGAACACTTTTGAACTGATACTGCTGTTGATCAGCGCCACCTCCTGGACTGATTATTTAAAAAATGAGATCCAATGGGATGGAAAACTGCTGCTAATCATTTACCCTTACCGCCAGATGGCATCTTGAGCTATTGAAATGGAGCCTTGTCATCGCAAAAGTGATCATTTTCAAATTTATAACAAACTCAAACAAATGTAATTCACCAAAATGTTGGACACACACACACACATACTTTCCCATTAACATATTGATTAAAAGACTATCACAAAGTAAAAATAAATTTTGAAATGACAGAAAAATACATACCATGGTAAATACTTGGGGTGTCAAAATAATTGTGTCTTTGGTGTGATGCAGATAAGGACAATTTGGTATGGTTCAGTAATGATCATAACTGGTTATTATGTACATCATTTATGAACATCATTTATCTCATATGCGCCATGTCGCCGTAGCTTACTATGGCGAGGGAGGCAAGCGCGAGTATTTAAAATGCTCCAACTTCTTAAAAACGCAGAAACTGTGCACAATTTCACTGCATGTGTGTTTGCTGGACATTCTTCCACTGACACTTACAGCAGAAGCCCCTATTTCACTGTGAATGAGAGAATGAAAGTAAACTCCATTTTACCTAGGTAACCTAACAAACCTACTTAAGCCTTTAAATGTTCCTTTAAGCTGTATCGAAGTGTCTTGAAAAATATATAGTAAAATAATATGTACAGTCAGTCATCATGGTAAAGATAAAATAAATCAGTTATTAGTAATGTTATAATAAAATAAATCAGTTATTAGAAAGATAAAATAAATCAGTTATTAGAGATAGTTATTAAAACTATTATGTGTTTAGAAAAGTGTTGACGACACTTTTCAGTACTTTAGACACTTAACAGCAAATTACACAGTTTTTCTAGCTTGAATGGATTCTGAGCTTATTTTTTAATAGCAGATGCTGCTGTATGCTTTACGAACAACCATACTCAGCTTGCATTCAGTTCCTTACAAATACCACTTAAACCTTTGCTAACTTAATGAATAATTATTTTTGGTTCAAGTGAATTACAAGTGTGTTTGAAGTTAGCTGTTTACGTTAACACCTGACATAAAAAAACAACTTTCTGAGAGCTTTTCATGAGAATTTCAGTGTATGATTAATGTTATAATTAAAAAACTAGCCTAGAAAGCCATCTGCTGTTAAAAACTAAGTACAGGTCCAAAAAAAAAATCGCTAAGTTTTTACCATTACTATGATATAGAATAGGGGAGATTTCAGACAGGAAAGCATTGGGAGCAGAGAGGGGAAGGATCGGCAAAGGACCTTGAGCTGGGAATCAAACTAGGGTCACCGGCATGAGCACTCTGCTATATACTGTATGTCAGAACACAGTACCTCTAAGCTATTGGCGCCAACCCAAATTCGATTTCTCAAAACTATTTTTCACCACAGCTTTATAAACAACACAAACATACTGTAAAGTTGACCAAACGTTACTCAGGCATAATCCCACGATGTGTGTTTAAATATTTTTGTTTAGCTGACCACCAAATGTTTACTACTTAAATTGACATTGCACTGGACTACCCACATGTAGATGTTTTACAATGGACAAATGCAGAAAAATATACGATGACATCATGAAAGGAGACTTCGTCGTTTACGACCAAGCAAATGATTACAGTAAATCCCACATAGACATGTGATGCTGTAATTTTTGCAAATATTGCTCAATGAAAGACTCGTCAAAGATATGAATGATGCAGTTCTACTCTATAGGTACTCGAGATTAACATGAGCTAGGCAGATACTGCCCTTTATATATTTTCGATAAAGCATTTGCATATAAATATGCATTCGTTTTGCATTTTGATGTGATTACATGATGTAAACCTGAATAGGAAGGTGTTGAAATGATAAATGTGTCATGCTCACCGTCAGCTTGCTCCACTGGCACCATGTGGGAGGTGGCGCTGCCCTGCACGATGACATCGCCCACCAGGTGAGCAAACTGAGTCACTGCCCGCACCAGTCCAGACACATCTGTTACACACAGACAGGAAAATCAGTGTTACAACAGGATCATATGAGCGTTTCTCATCTCAATTGAGGAATTAAGTGTCAACAAAAGTGATGAAACGAAGTCTGAATGCATTCATGGTGCTCAGGGCTTTACTGGTAAAGGATTTAGTTGTATATTTTTGAGCTAAATACAAAGCAAAAACAGGGAGTAGGAAAGTTTTCAGTAGTTGATGATAGCATGGCTGTTTTCAAAACTGTGTGGATTGTTCAATTTTTCAGATGTGTTAACTATTTTTCCCAACAGTCAGTGGCGTAACATTGCAAAATAACACATCATATATGTGTCACTATATGTATTGCACACCCTTACCAGCATAGGAGCTCAGACAACAGCCAGACTGTTTAGGACCACTTACTGATTCAGAACGTTTGTTTCATGATACACTTTGCTCAGACTGAGTGTAAAATTATCATTTAAACAATACTAAGGCCTAAAATGCTTTGGTTAGCAGTTTACAGCTTTTTTCTTTTTTTACAAAAATTGTCTGTGTTTTGGTAAAGTGTCTTTTACTGGGAAAAAAAAGCTTTTAAGCTATTATTAAATGACACCACCTTAAATTAGATTACTTTTTGTGCCATATCCTTTATATTTAAATCATTACCATGGTATGTATGAGTATGTTTATGTGTATATATATATATATATATATATATATATATATATATATATATATATATATATATATATATATATATATATATACACATATATACATATATACATATATATATATATATATTTATATACACACACACACACACACACACACACACACACACACACACACACACACACACACACACACACACACACACACACACACACACACACACACATTATTTATATATATATTATATATACATATATTACTTATATTATATTATTAATATTATTTATATATATATATATATATATCTACTTATAAACTAATTATTATTATTATTATTATTATTATTATTATTATTATTATTAATTTATTATTTATTCTGACATGGTGGTGCTTGATATATTCACAAATAACAAGAATGACACACTTAACACAAAACACCAACACTTAACATCAAGTACACAAACAACAAAAAAATAATAATAATAACAATAAAGAAAAAATCATTAACAATAATAATGCAAATAAAAAAAATAGAATTAATATTAAGAAATTATAATCCAAGATTAACTGCATTTACTACATAATCGAATTACTTCAGGTTATAAAAAAAGTACATTTATAACGGTTTGTCGAACATCTTATTGTACTTAGATGTCACCATAGGGGCATCCACTCAAAATATTTGTTTAATGGGTGTGTGCTGTCTCCTAGTATTTTATGTGCCATCCTCCACACCTGCTGTTCATGATAGGATGCAAGACTTAGCAGAGCAAGTCATAAACTTTTTGAGCACAAATTAAGAAAGCCTTGAAGACGTTTCTTGTTTTTTATAGACAGTGAGGACAACAAACAAAAAGGAAAAGGACAAAACACTTTCAATAAATGAATTATAAAGAACAGGGTTTTTGCAGATTTCATCAAGTTAAATATAAGACATTTTAAGACCATTTTAAGACCATTAAAAATTACATTTTAGACTTATACAGGGTTAAACACGAATTTTTTCCTAATGGCTCTGTATTATCATCAGAAATCGTGCAATTGTTTTTAGTTTTCCTACCCTGACTAGGGAAATTAATGGGGAATTTGCTGTACAAATGTCTAACAGCTGTTGTGAATTGCATCTCTTTGCAATAAAAAACTTTAAAAAAAACTTTAAAAATAAGGCTTTATTGAGATGCATTGATGGTCATTGGATGGATGTTGGCCCAACTGAGAAGATTTACTCGGACAAAGTAAAAATTCAGACCAGTTTAAAATTATTTAGGACCCACAACCATTTATACTTTAAAGCCTAAAATTTCGTTTTTGAAATTTAAGACATTTAAAGATTTACTTTTTAAGACGCAGCGGACACCCTGTAAGAAAAACTCTCTCTACATTAAAAGAGTTATATTATTCTTTCTACAGTTCAAATATTCATGTATTTAAAAAATAATAATAATAATAATTTTTGACAAAAAAAAAAGTTGATAAAAAGTGAATGTAAAAACATTTATGCCATCTAAGATTTGTACTTATTTGTACTATTTTTTTCTCTGATCTTTACGTGTTTCTATTTGACAAAAAATTGTCAACATGTTTGTATTGGTAAAGTGTCCTTCTACTTAAAAAAAAAAATAAGTTATTAAGCTATTATTAAATGCTACTGTCTTAGATTAGACGATTAGATCAGATTAGCTTTCCTGCCATATTATTTTTGTTTAAATCATTATACTTTCTAAAATGTAAAGATTATAGAACTTTAAATGTATTTATTTGCTAAAAAGGTAAAGTATAAACATTTATGCCATATAAGATTTATACTTAAGTGCTCTTCTTTTTCATTTCACTGTATGTTAATCTAAGATTCTGCTACAAAATATAGCACAGTTTCCATTGAATTATTAAAGAGCTAGAAAAAAAATAAGTTTGGTCATCAATTACACACTCTCCACACTTTATTTCTTCTGTTGAACACAAAAGAGGATATTCACAAAAGTCCATTTCCATTATATGTTTTGGTTTCTACTATGGATGTCGATGGCTGCTTTTCCCACAACATTCTTCAGAATATCTTGTTTTTTGTTTAAATGAAAATTGAAACTTGCACCTCAGAAAAATACACTTCAGTATGAGTAATTCAGTATGAGTGAACAGGTGTGTCTAATTAGGTTTGGAACTAAACTTTGCAGGACACCGGCCCTCCAGGACCAAGTATAAGCACCTCTGCTTTAAGCAGTACAACTGTCAATAACTAAAATACATTTGTCTCCTTCCGCATCTTCAACATAGTTAATTACTCTACAAAGTTTTTAATTACCTAGTAAATTTACAGTTCTTTAACTACTTTAAATGATGTGCAAGTTGTGTAATCTTGGCAGGCTCCAGTTTCAGTTTAACTTTCCCGGTACTGCTGAAGTGAACGCTGCATTAATGACTGTTAACTGAGAAGGGAAATGAGAGTGTGTGTTCATGTAATTCACCTGTGTTATCTGATACAAAGCCGTCTCTGGACGAACGCAGCCTCTCCACGCAGTCCAGAGCCACCTGGCACCTGGACACCAGGTAATCTACACACACAAGAAGCTCTTTTAATATTTATTACACTCTCTTAGGGCAGTTCCTGCAGTATGGTGTAAGAAGCGTGGTGCATCTGAGCTGGGTTCTGACCGGCTGAACTGGTGCAGCTGATGTGTGCAGGGTCCTCCAGCTGATTCAAGCTGTCCTGAACGATCTTTCCCGCCTCCTCCAGAGCCGCTCGCAGAGACGCCCAGCGCAGAGAGACCAACTCGCTTTCCAGAGCCTGCTCACGACTTTCCTGCAAACACAAAGACAATGAAGACTTTGTATGAGCTTTGAGGTGAACAGTCCACATGCTAATAAAGCTAACTTTTAGCTAGATGTGCGCCGACTGACTGGACAGAAATTAGAATCAGACGAGAAATTAGAATTCAGCCGATCTCTTTTCTGGACTTACATTAAAGGAAAACTTCACTTTTTTGGAAATAGGCTATTTGTACAAGTGACCTAGAGTTAAACAGCGGAGTTTTACAATTTTAGCCATGATACGGCAGCAAAGTTCCTTGACTATGACGCTGAAATGAAATATAGTTCTTAGCCATATCAACCTACAAAAATAGCAACTTTTAGTCAGTCTTTGTACCCAATGTAACTACAGAAAACTATATCTTGAAGTAGAAAATAATTGAAAAAAGTTTTTTGAAATATTTTTTTCAAGCAAAATGCTAATGGTCTAATGTCTGAATCACTGATCTATGCTAAGCTAAGCTAAAAGTGCTCCTGCCAGACTTGGAGATTAACTGAATGGATTAAAAAATAGTTAAACTCAACTGTTAGAAAAATGGGCTTGTATACAGGGTGTGACTTACACATTGATGATCAGGGGGTCAACTTTTTGGTAATGTTAGTCTTTGCAATACATGTTTCAGTGAATGAAATTTACTGTATGCATTTATTTTAATGACATCCAATTCATTAATAAAATATATTTATGTTTTTGATATTTTATGTTTTCTGACCTAATGTATCCGATTAGCTACTACACTATACATGCTACTAAACGATGCATCTAATTTGACTTGACTTTTAGGCAATATGTAGAAAAAAAACAGCTATTTATGAGAAAACAGTCTTGTGAACAGTTACGTTGTCTATTAGTGCTCAATATATGCCTTTCTGAATGAGTTTTTTCTAGCATAGTCTGATTGACGCGATTATGCATTACGGTGGTATGAACCCTAATAAGGATGGTCAAATGGATGTTTATGTTGTTGATTTGATTATCTTTTAATTATTAGTATTACTATTTAAAACACAAAGCAGAGAAAACTATTTCTTAGCATTACAGCGCTGACCCCCTATAAATGTTGTTTTGATGTCCTTCAGGGGGATCAAGCATTAATTAGAAGTAATTCACAAAAAGGTGGAGTGTTCTTTTAAAACTGCATAGCAAAGATTTTGTATTTTTGAGTATGTAAATAGAGACTAAATATTGTATCAGCAGTACAGACACCATACAGAAATGACAAAACATGAACATAAAACATCAGATATTAAGCATTAACAAATACTGTCCTCTGTTCATTTCATACTTCGGCAATTATATGATGTTTTCAGCATTAAATTAAAAAAAGGACAAATAAGTATTCTGTGATTGGGCAGTTTTCATCATAAATCATATTTAGGTGATGACTTTTAGGTTTTAAAAAGCTGCAAACTAATATTCGTTTTCATTTCATCTGTAAAAACTCTTATCTAAAGATTAAGTAAATATGTATACTTAATGTACTATACATAGGCTACATTCAATATATTTGTGCATCTGCTGGTTTGATCTTATTTGTGAATTATGGTTGTTTTTGGAAAACGATATTTTATTAATGTTAAAATGCATGTTAAAAAATAAAATAAAAAAATTATATATATATATATATATATATATATATAAATCACCCATAAAAATAAATAAACATTTTTCTAACATACAAACTAGACTATTCAAATACTGTTTTAATTATTTTTCTTCTTTTTTTCCATTAAATTTTTCATTTAATTTTATATCTTTTAAAAAAGTATATGTTACACACAGACAGGAAAATCAGTGTTACAACAGGATCCCATGAGCGTTTCTCATCTCAATTGAGGAATTAAGTGTCAACAAAAGTGATGAAACGAAGTCTGAATGCATTCATGGTGCTCAGGGCTTTACTGGTAAAAGATTTAGTTATAGCTTTCTTCTTTTTGACAGAAATTGTCTGTCAATTGTCTATGTTTTGGTAAAATGTCATTTTACTGGGAAAAAAAGCTATTAAGCTATTATTAAATGACACCACCTTAAATTAGATTACTTTTTGTGCCATATCATTTATATTTAAATCATTACTAATATATATATACATATATATATATACACACACACATATATATATATATATATATATATATATACACACACACACACACACACACACACACACACACATATACACATATATACACATATACATATATACATACACACACACAAGAAAAATAATAATAATTAAGAAAAAAATCTATGACAATAATAATGCAAATTTAAAAAATTATAATAATAAGAAATTATAATCCATCGATGCAGGGGAACTCATAAACTTTTTGAGTACAAATTACCAATGTCTTGAAGACAATTCTTGCTTTTTAAAGACAGTAAGTAAACCAACAAATGGAAAAAGGAAAAGGACAAAACACTATATTATTTCAAAATATACATATGAATCAAATGGGCTAGCTAATCAAAACCGGGTCCATAATTACTTTTAGCCAATATAAAGCCTTTTTCCTGTGGTAAAATGCTGAATAATGCATACAACACTACTAGTCAAATAATACAGAGCAAATGTATAACATCCCACCTTCTCATTGAGCTGGTTTTGCAGAGCCTCAGCAGCTTTCACACCGCTCTCCCTCTCATTGGTCAGACTGCTCTGCAAACGCTCTAACTCCGCCCCCAAACCAGACAGCTCCACCTCTTTTCGAGAAACGGTCTCCACAAGCCCCGCCTTCTCAGCCACTAAAGCAGACAGCTGAGTGCCGAGCTGCTCATTTGACTATATGAACAGAGAATCATGTTGAGTTAGCACTGTCTCCCACTATCTAGAATACAAGACCTGAAGAGACTTTACAGAGAGAACAAGAAACAGAGTTAATTAAAACTTCTCTGTTAAAAGAAACCTGTTACTATTTATTCTCTTTTTAACGAAAACCGTCATTAATTGAAAAGGCTGAAATGAAAAGATGAAAAACTTAAAAATTAGAAACAAAGGAAAAAAAGGAGAAACATTTCAATTTAATTTTTAAAAAAAAAATCTAAATAGCTAATATAAATATTAAAAAAAATGTTTTTTCTTTTTTCTATTTGCAGTACTATGTATTTTTTTTCTTTTTTTTCTTTTGGTCTATGTTACAAAATAAAAAGGTACAAATGGAATCAAACATATTATTTGTCATTTGTTATAAGATACCAAAAGGATCAAAAATGTTTCATGTAAAAAGAAGAGATAGGTAAAAGAATAAATAAGTTTAAGTGATAAACGAATTATATATGTGGTAATGGGATGGGAGAATAATAGGCTTATGCTTCATCCCGCTCCATTTTCGATCATGTTGAAATGTATTTCTTTTTGTTAATTATATTTCAAGTATGATTTTTTTGTTCAAAAATAATTAAATCAAATTAAAATCAAATCAAAATACTATAATACTGAAATAAGACTGATGAGAGAGAATGAAGGTTAGAAATTGAGAAAATAAACTGAAACATTGTATACAGAAGAAACAAAGCATTATTTCCTTAATTTCTAACTATGCTTTGTTATTAATATTATTATTTATTCCAGCAAAGAAAAAGCCAGCTGTCAGATGGCATGTCGCATAACTTCTCTTCGTTGTCAAATCAAAACGTACTCTAAAAACTACACTTATCACTGATTATTAATGTAATTGTAAACAGTGGAGGAATAAATTGCATGTGTATCAGTATATTAGATCTGTGAAACAGCATCTCTTTTGACTTAGTGACAGAACTACTAATACAACTCCTGTCCCCTTGGATGTAAAAAGGATTTCAATTTAAGATATTAGTGCGCGTGTGCGCTACTAAAAAAAACAGTAAGGAGTATGAGTGAGTTCAGAAACAGCACTTACAGATATGGATAATAGGAACAGAATAATTATAGTATATTGGTGTGATTAAAGTCTGAGGATCACAATTAGTATAGTCATTCATTTCACACTAAACATTAATCTCTTACGGCCCAAGGAGTTTTTTTACATGCATTTTTTATTTCTCTTTGCTATTTGGGCTTATTGCAACCTAATTAGAACAAAATCTAAGTATCATCTTTTGATGTAATGTACTTTTAGAGAATAATGATGTCCATATATGGGAAATCGTGTTCCGAATTTCTATAAAACACTTTTTCCTGACTGTTTTTTAATGCGTTAATAACACACACATATTCTTTGAACATGATTTGACTTTTAGAGTAAAAACAACATTTTTTGCCCATTCTGGACAGTTAAAAATAGTTTTTGAGACATTTCATATGCTGCAAAACAGTTTCTGGATGACACTGTATGTCTGTAACAAAATATACAAATTTCAAAGTATTTTAAATAGCCACTTAAGAGCCAAAATGTGCTGTCCATGTATGTGGCCACTAAGCCCTAAGAAAGAGGTTTTCAAACCTTTGTCATCAAGTACCACCTCAGAAACTAATTGTCTCTATAAGTATCACCATAATAAGCAGTACTGAAATACAGTAGCGTAGTGTAGTAGGCCGACAAAGCTGCAACAGCACTGCACAGTTCACAAACAATGCAGACTAATTCCTATTAATAAAAATATTAATTATTGTCAGCCACTTTAAACATTATAAATAGTTTGAACATTAACACTATACTGTGCTTATTTGCAAAAAAACAAACAAACAAACAAAAAAAAATGTATCGTCAATGTTTAAATTAAAATATGCTTTTAAAAGTTAAAAATAAAATGGCACTGTTCTTAAAAAGTAAAAAAAAACTGCTGTACCTAAATGTAAAGTATTAACATTAAGTAGCTAATTTATCAACACCTGTAAATGTTGCCTGGGCCTCATAAATATAGGCTATATGTCATTATATTCATATACAAATCATTTTTGATACATTTTGAAATATATGTAGCATGTACATATGACATTTGATTCCTCTGGAAGCCCACGTACCACTAGTGATACATGTACCACAGTTTGACAACCACTGCCCTAGGACGTTAATTTAACACTATTAGCTTTTACATTCACATGAAACCTCCTTATATTATACAAGGGTTATTTATTCCTGCTCGGTAAACAAATAATATAGCCCTAAATAATAATAAAAACAAATAAAAGTCAAATTTTCCCTTTGGAATTAAAGGAAAGTAAATGAAAGTAATACTTTACCAATAAAACTAAATTAAATCAAAAATACTCTTAGTCTATTTACACCGCTGGCTTAACTTTTCTTGACATAGTTTTCATTTTGCACATATTGCAATAGTTCCGTTCCATGCAACAGAAACAAAGTGTTAGAGGGACTTTACGATTGATCAACCGAGACAAATTAAAGCACGGTGGACTTTACGCTTTATTACTTAGCAGGTCTTTTTCATGCTCAAACAGCAGTTTAACTCATGCACAAATACTTCAATTGTAATAGTGCCCCTTTAAAATGTTTTCTGTCAAACGGTTTAATATTTAAATGAAGCATTCGACCACCTTTAAGCTATTTGCCAAGCCATTAAAGCATTAAACTGCAGCGAAGGTGTAGTTGTTGACTCAGTGTTTTGAGCACAGGTGTGTTCAGCTGCTTCAGGCAGTGAGGCAGCAGGTGCGCAGGTTTCAGTAGGAAGTAAGATGGAGGAGGAAGCAGGGTGACGCATTAGATCCTACAAGCAATCTGGACACATCGACCCCACGCACTAACACAGAATCAACGTGTCCACCTGCTCTGGACTCTAACCTCAGAAACAGAGACACGTGGATCCTGTGGTGGGTCGAGAGCTGAAGAGGGATGGAGGGAAAAGCATTTTCAAGTACTGACCTTATGACAATGGCTAATTAACCATGCACACTATGCTCTATCTATATCTGTCAGTCAAAACGATGACTGGAGTCATCATACTGATGAAATAAAGATTTAGGAATTAATGATTTTAGATGCAGTTTAGTGTAGTTAATCAATGGCACAATCTGAAAGAACAAGATTTTGTACCTGGTTGTTGTATTACACACTAGGTTTGGGCGACATGACAAATGTCAATACAATTATAGAATTATAGTATTTAATATATAATATTAGTATATATTATTATATATATTCCGCGCGCGCACACACACACAGAATTTTTTTTCTGTATGTGTAATTATTTTTCTCCTTTTATATAATCAAGGCAAATGTTTTTTTTAACAGTGTAGAAATATAAAACAATAATAATAAAAAATATAACTTAAAAAAAAAAAAAAGTTAAAATGTACACATAGTACTTTCAAACTTGCAATTTTCCTACTATGCGCTGCATTTTGCATGCTCATGGTGGCATAAAAGATTGTGGTTATCCAAATTATGAAATGCTATAACTGTAAAACAGACCTGGGTGTTTTACGGCCCCCGGGCCACATGCCGGACTTCTTTGATAAGCCCGCGTGAAGTATTTATTTAATTTAAATTCAGCCACAATGCAGCCTTGCAACGCGCAAGTCTGATATTAAAGTCAACAAAAGGGGACTTTCACATTTAGCATTTTTGCACACTCCGTTTCCTTTTTTCAAATGGAGAATCAGTGCACAAATAGGAAGAGATGCACATGTAGTACTGTATGTCATGCTCACGTTTTTCAGGCGCAGCGAGTTGATAAAATTTAAACATTTAAGAGTGTTGCGAACGAACCACGAGTCATGTGGCAGGAACCAACCAGGCAGCTTCATACTTTGTATGGAATTACACCGTAACAAAGGTAGACTAATTACATCAGATCAATGATCAAACAAATGCAGATACAGATAATCTGTCATTGATAATCATTACATCACACATGTAACATATGTCTTCAGTGCACTTGTTCAGCCCAACACAGGCTAGAATTCCCTCACTCAACATAAAAAATAATGAATGAATGAATGACTAAATAAATAAAAACTAACTAGGGTGAAGCAATCAAACATACACACCTGTGGTATTTAAGCCTGATTTATACTTCTGCGTCAAACACCGGCGTATGCTACGGCGCTGACGCATAGCCCTTCGCCGTGGCCATCGCCGTCACTGACGTGCACCTCTCAAAAAATGTAACTACACGTCGCAACGACGCGTAGCATAAGCTCTGTGATTGGTCGGCTTGGTAGCGCTGACGAGTCTGGGCGGGACCGAGAGGCGCGCGAATGGCGCGACGCCGCGCGAGCGATTGTTTACAAGTGTGGAGTCTCGTGAAGGAGCTCCGGATGGAAAGTTTTGTTTTGTGTTTACCTCATAGTTAAAGTTGTTGCACGTCCGCCGGTTCCTGCCTCAAAATGAGCGAGTTTGAGCCACTTGTACATCCCGGAAGTGTTCAGGAAATGCAAAAAAGTAGCGAAGAAACTCGACACAGAGGAACATTTACACCTCACTGCCAACTAGCGTTTCGGAAGTGTTAATGCAGACCGACAGAGACAGCGCGCAGAAGTATAAATGCACAGCCACGCGCGTTGCCTGCGCCGTGGGTTACGCCGGTCACCTGACGCAGAAGTATAAATCAGGCTTTATATTATAGTGATATAATTGATATTGTGATGCTGGTCTTTAAATACTTTAAAATACTTTTTTTGTGTAAAACTGATCCTTTTAAACTTGAATTTTTATGGATGTTTATTGAATAGTTTCACTTTTTTTTCCCAAAACAAATCAAATGTATTAATCTGGTCTAATGTGGCCCTTTGCTACTCCTGTCGTAAAAGGTGTATTTTGCAACAACACAAATTAAACGATGGAGAATAAAATTAAACTATAAACTTTTAAAAGTAAATTATTTCTTCCATAGGATATACAGTATATATATTTCACGTCCCTACAACAGATGAGCAAATCGTGGAAAAAAAGGTTCAAACAGCTCCAATCATTCAATTCAGGCATGATATATTCGAAATAGGATGCTTTGAAATTTTAAAATCGTCGAGTGTAATAAGTATTTTACCCTTAATAGTTTGTCATAATGGGCAACAACCAAAGCCAAATCTGGTAATATCATGGTGATTTTTGTAATCTGATTGGCTGATTTGGCCTTTCAATTATTTATCTATCATAAGGTCAGTTGCTTGACATTGTATAGATTCTTTCTATTGAGACAAAGAGTGAAGATGGATTTGAGATAGAGGTGGAGAGGGTGATGGATAGAGGGTGAGGTCCCACCTGTTGGGAGGAGGTGACGGTGCTCTTCAGGGTCTCTAGTTCTGTTCTGCTGGACATGAGCTCGGCTTGTAGAGCTTGAAGCTGCTCTAACTGAGCCTTTTCCTACTCGTGCACATACATGAGGATAGGGAAGTGTAAGACAGGCATACTACGGATACAACAGGCAGAGGGAGTGTGTGTGTGATTGTGAAGTGTGTGTGGTTTGTGTCCAACCTGCTGACTGGCAGAGTCCTGGGCGACTTTTAATCTGTCCTGCATCTCTTTCTTCACATTCTCCACCTCATCCTGTGCGGCACGAGCTACTGTCATTTGGCGCGTCACCTCTGCGTTCTGTGAAACACACAGACATGTACAGTTTAGCACAGAGCCAAGACTCTTGGCTGACCCCATTCCCTTCCCAAGGACATGGCACGAACTGGCGGATGCCTCTGTGGCGGGATTGGATTGTGTTGCAGTATGACAGCGAGTGTGATGACAGACTTGAAGCGTGGCAGAGCAACACGGTGCCAGGTTTCATCTGTGTAAGAAATGGAGCAGAGTCTGCTGGGGGAAAAATGAGGTGGAGAAGCTAAACCACCCGCAGGTTTACTGAAAGGCCTGAGAATGGAGCTCAAGTATGCAGTGTGCGTCAGCGTCCACATAAAAAAAAATTATATTTGCAAAAAGAAGAAAGCGGAGTTAGATACTGTATCCCACAGCACAATGTGGGTTGACCTTCCATTTTCAGTGATGAATGTGGTGGAAGTCGTCATTATTTAATAGAGAATTCTTTTTGCAAATATCTAAAAATTTTTTTTTTTTAAGTATATCATGGCAATAATCGTCAGTACAGACCTTTCAAAACATGTGTACTGAACAAATTGTGCGTGTAAAGTTTTATCTAAAACTTCTAGCTATAATTTATGTAAATATACTTTAAATAAATCTATATTGATTCCTAAATGCCTTTTATTAGTCTAATCCGTTTCCATCAATACATGAATAAATCTTCACTAGACGTTATCCAATAATAACAAATAGGTTTGGTTGGCGCTTGGTTCATTTTGAAAAGAAATATAGCCTGATGTGTAAAATTCCTAGCATTTGTTTAGGAAATTCAAAGACGAATTGCTGTATACTTGTATGCTACAAACTCTTTACATTTTATTATAGCACCAAATGTACATAAACGACCATCTAACAACTTATTTAATTACTCAGTGTTTTAACTGCAGATAATCATCAGCAAGCTTGTAAAAAAAATTACTTTGCCTTAAATCATATTGTACACAGCTCAGTTCTCTAAATATCTGCTCTAAGTTGACCTATATATTCATTATATTTTACTTAAAGACATTTCATTTGTCATCACTGGAATAAACAATACTTTAAAATACTTTCAAATAGAAAAAACACATATCAAAGTAAAAGTTTTTGAAGTTATTTAAGAAAAACCCATAGAGAACAAACTTCTGAACAGAAGTTTATATATATTAAACAGCAATAAGCATTAGTAAATGTGTTAATTGCAAGTATTAATGTGAACAATGTGCTAAAAAGGTGTGTATACATCTTTATTCAGTCCCTCCAGAATATTGCAGACTTTATATTTGAGACCTAAAATGACCGAATTTGTGGCAACTTCTCTCAAAACTTTAGACTTTATTTTTCTTGTATTTTGCTGTAAAAAAAATAAATAAATTTTTTTTTTTCACAAATTCCTGGAAGGACTGATTATACTGTGTCCAGAATGAAGATGTAAGGATGTCAATTCACCTTTCTAAGTAGGTCAGCATGGCTCTGGACCAGCTCTGTGTATTTCTCCTTTAGTTTGGTGTAGCGTTGTTCATTTGCTTGTGCTTTTCCTAGAATAAAAAACAAAATACATATTTAGCATCTAAAACACAAGCCATCTAAGACACACATCTCAGACATTGCTCTCTGTATCACTGAACAGTCAGCACTACTAAGGCCTGATGTGTGTTTGTCTGCTGGTGAATTGCACTGTGGACTATAATGTTTATTAGTGTTTGATTGGTGGCTGCCGTGACTGGGGTCCCTTCTGGCTGGTTTCCTCAGCTCCAGAAAGAGTAAACAGACTGTCTAATCCACATCCATCTCCGTCCTGCATTGGTACTGGCTGTCTGCTGTCTTTAATATCTTGTAATAGAGTGCTCAGTAGTGCTGCGGGGTTTAGGTCCATAAAATTATGTGCTGCTTTTGCAACTGACCATAAAACAACAACTGACATTCCGAAATACTTAAGAAACAGGTTAAGAAATATCTTGAGGTGCAAGTCTTGAAAAAGCTTAAGAATTCTCAAATTTGTTTTAAGATGTTTTTTTTTTTTTTTCTTAAAAAGATTTCTCAGGAAGACAAAATATTCTTTTTTGACTTTTTCTAAAGTTGGTAAATAAGAAGAAAATGGCAGAAAATTTGCAATTTCTTAAGAATGTTTTGTGAATCTGGCTTCAGGGGTTTGAGGTAAATAAGTGAGCATAAATAAACCAAAAAGGAAGAAATAATGGTTTTTGCTTTTATGAAAGAGGAACATAAATGTTTTGTGCTGAAGACCTTAATTAAATTATAATGACCTTTGAAAAAAAGACAAACACTAGAATTTAATTTTATAGTAAAAATAAAATTATAATACATATTTATTATGCTATTATTTATTCATTTATTATTTACAATACAATAGTGTGTTGGTATTACAGAAAATTTTTAAACTATTCACAATAAAATCATAATTACCTTTTTTAAATTAATTAATTAATTAATTAATAAGTTTGACTCATAAACTGCTAGCAAAATTCACAAATAGCACTTGACACATTAGATGATAATTGATATTCTGAAGTAGATGACTAAATTTGTATTTTATAATAAAACTATACACACAATATAAAAGAACATACTCTCGATTTCGCTCAGACTGCGCTGCTCTTTTTCGGTGTCCTCTTTGACCCTCCGCAGGTCGTCGAGCTCCGCCCTCAGAAACTCACTCTCACCCAATGCCTGCTGCTTTAGGTGCGTCTGTTCTGCAAGTTCCGCCTCCAGCTCATTGACCCGCCCCCGTAGTGCTTGACAAAGACGACCACTCTGAGAAAGAATGATTAGTGATTGCTTTTATTTTCACTTCTCATCCACTGTACACTACATACAATTAAATATTTTTGCTTTTAGTGTCACATAATCTTTCCAAAATAATAGATTTATCATTGATAATCAATTTTGTGGCCAAAACGTTTTTTTTTATTCACTTTGATTAATGTAATGGACTTTTGGTAGTTTAATAAATTTAGGACTGCGATATTGACAAAGCACACAATGTTTTGCTGAGTGTGTCTTTATGTTGGACCTTGACTAATAAAATTATTAGTAAACAGAGGCAAGTCGCCGTCTGGATGATTGATTTAGTGAATTATTAATTCAACTGATTCATTCAAAACGGCTGATTCCTTAAGAAATGAAAAAAGTGATAGTCAGTTATGAATGAATCATTGAATCAGATCATTTCATTAAAAACAGATTTATTTAGAAACAACACACAGCAGTGTTCCGCACAAAATACTCTGCTCTGGCTTTGTTTGGAACTATTTGGGATGATGAAAATAGAAAAACAAAATCACTGGTAAATATGAAACGAAGCACACTCAACATTAACTTTTCTTGTTAAATTGCTTTAAATAATCAGTTTTAAATTTTCAATCAGACTTTATATATTCAAATATTTAAGAAAACTCCACTTAATGTGTGTGATTTTACTTTAACTATATCAGGTTTGACTAATATGATTTTTGCTTTGCTTTTTTAACTTGAATTACAGGGTAATTCTGACTCATAATAACTTTGAGCTGAAATGTCTTTGAACACTGAAAATATCAATAGTGATAGATTTCACATAAAAAAAATAATTAGCATAGATGGCAAATATTACATATTCGATTATAACATTTGACCTGTTCTCCTCCCCCATCTTTTAATTTACCTCCAATCTAAAGGACTCCAGCTCCTCTTTCAGGGCCTGTAGCTCTGCTGTGAGCTGCTCAATCAAACGATCTCTGAAATGACAGATAAATACATATTAAGATTCACGTCATCATCATTTGCATTCTTAAACTCAAAGACCTTCTTATAATGCATTAATTATATCCCAGAGTCTTACTTGTCATCTTTGCGCATTCCATTCTGGCTGTTGAAGTTGAACGGGTCTGTGGCGGCTGAGGTGCCGAAGAGGTCATCAAACTTGCTGTCCCCGGTGCCCTAATGGTGATCAATGCCTGATTTTAGATACTCAAGCTTAATGAAAGAACCCAGCAGAGTTGTGGATAGCGAGAGAGTGTGTGTAGTACTGTTAAAGGTGGGATGTCTGTGTCCACCAGGTCCTCTGTCTCTACTACGTGTTCACTCTCAGGGGATGAAGCCTCCGCTGGAATCACCACCACCGGACTGATGTGCTCAGAGAGGGCTGATGCCCGCAGGAAGTTTGGCGGATTCTGAAGAGAAACCAAGAGATTTTAAGAAAAGTCATGCAAACATACAAATATTTTTCTTGTTCCGCTTTGGCCGAAAACCAAAAAAATTGTGTAATAATTATTTTTTTATTTAATACATAAACATTTTAAATTTAAAGGCTCCATGAAATTAAAATAATATTGTTTTTTGTTTGTTTTTGGGTATATAAAAGCTAATGAGTACCAAAACAATGACAAAATTCCCATTTAGAAGATATAAAACCGATATTAGCATGTACTTTGTCATTTTTGCTAAATTAACATTTTTTACATCACCTCATACTTCAGTTTCTCATTAAATCATGACCAATCAAATGCTTTCAAGTTTCTTACATGCCCCGCCCCCTTCATGGCCCTTTACATTTGATTATAAAACTTAAAAATTATAAAATTTTTAAAGGGAAGGAGCTACACTATGTCCCACCCTCTCTTAGTGTTTAAGTTGAGATTACGGCAAACATCAAATAAAACTGCCCATTTCAAAGGACTTCACAGGACCTTTAACTCAATAGGTGTATCCCAAATCACATACTTATGCACTATTCTACGCCATTTTGTAGTATAAATAGTGTAAGTAGTGCGTTTACACTGAAAACTCTAAAAATAGTAAGCCCACATGCTGGATAACATAATTTTTGTTTATGTTGACACAGCTACATTACACATCAACTAAAGTTTCAAATATGATATTGTAGTGGACCATCCCTTTAAATTAACAGATAACCCTCTATTTTAGTTTGACAGTAAAGCCTGCAGTATTTTCCTGATGCTACAAAACCAAGCAGGCAGATATGTAAATGAGTTACATAATTTTTTTCTTTCCACTAGCTGTATTTTTGGACTCCGGTCAGGCAGGAATCTGTTTGGTATGCAGGAGTCTCACCTCAGGAAGTTGTGGGATCTGAATCAGTCTCTTGAAATACTGCAGGTTACTGGAGCGATAGAATAGACTCTTCAGTCTGGAGAGAGAAAGAGTTGGAGTGAAAGATGGTGAGAAATGACAAAAGAATAAAACAGTAGCTTCAGTGTGGGTCATGGCAGCTGTTGTGTCTGAATGGTGACTGACAGACTCACTTCTTAAACTGCTCCTGGAAGCGATCCCGATGGCCCTGCAGAGTATCTGCTGGCAGACCTGGAGGACACAAGAATAAGACCAGTGAGGATACCTGAATTCAAGCTAGCGTTCTTTCTTCAGTATATATTTTTCATTATTTTTACAATTCATATATTTAATTTGCTTTAATATTCAAAATATATACACGAAATTAGAGAAAACAAGAGTTAAAATAGATTAAATTAGTGAGAAAACTACAGCAATTAAAATAATTAATGCAAAAATACACAATAAAATACAAATTTATCAATACAAATCAATAAAATCCATTAGTTTTTTGTAGTAAACAAATATCAAAACAGCTATCAATACTGATAAATACTAATTGTTTTATGAATAATATAAATATATACTGTTTCTCCTCAGCTAAGTGCATAAGTAGCAGGTCAGTTTGGTAGAGGTTTGATTTGTAGACTCACAGGAGTGGAGTTTGAAGAGCAGTTTGACGGTGTAGTCGTATAGATGACTCGAGTCCAGTATGACCTGAATAAGAGGAGCCAGACGACACTGACCTGCTGCAGTCACAGACACTGAACGAGACATATCCAATGAGCTGAACACTGGGAAAAATGAGAAAACAAAAAATTAAAAAATAATTATATATATATATATATATATATATATATATATATATATATATATATATATATATATATATATTTTTTTTTTTTTTTTTTTAATGCCATGATTTTATAAATACTACATAGAATAAATATTTTTAACTCTAACATAAAAATTCTAAAATGTTACTATAGACCATTTCAATGTGGTGATGTCATTTGCCCATGATTATTACCTGCTTGTTATCAAATAATTTAATAACTGTGATAAGAGGCAATTCAATCATAACCTAATGTTAAAACGGATATTGTAACATTATCAATATGTGGCTCTTTCTGGCTCTTTCTGGCCATAGTTGGAAAACCAAAAACAGGTTTATTTTGTTTATCTTACTATTTTTAGCTTGTTTTAAGAAACAAAAACTTAATTTTGACACATTTCTGAAAATGAAGCAATATATTTTTACTTGTCCTGATAATAAACACACCTTGATTTAAGAAGTTTTACACATTTCAACTACAAACAAGACAAAAACTACAAGTATTTTTCAATAGATTTGTAGATATTTATAGATTTATAAAAAGTGAAAGTTCATCATTTGCATGTGTTTATAAGCCCTCTTACTATGTATGCATTTAAAATTATCCGGGCAATACAAAGTACAAATAAACTGCTTTTAATTATTTATACAATGAAGACCGTATAGTGTTTTTTTTTTTATTTGATTATTGAATTTCGGTCCTTGAATACTGTTGGTAAAACATAAAGCAGAGCTATTCAAGCCATTTGGTGAAATTATATTCAGTGTTTCCTCTAGGATTTTTTCCAGCTGTGGCGGCAGGCCTTTTTTTTATACCGATCTACAAACTACCTATGGTGTTATTATTTCAATGATAAATGTCCTGAGCACAGTATTACAAGTCGGGATCGCATTTATGTAATAGCCTACGAGCATGCGAATCTCTTTGTTTGCATGCCGATTTTCTCTGCTCGTACACAAAACTTCTTCCACGCCCCTTCAAATATAAGCCGTTTCAAGAGCGAGCAGCGGTTACAAAAAGGTTTGCGCTATTATAATTCACTTACCCTTCAATACGTTTTGGTGCAATTATTACCTGCTATTAAAAAACTAAATGTTTTGAAAGAGAAGCTGTAATGTAGCCGTGGCGGGATGAATTTTGCGTGGCGCTCCGCCATGGAAGAATGAATGTAGCGGAAACCATGGTATTAATATCGCATTATTCATTCACTTTCTTTTTGGCTTAGTCCCTTTATTCACCAGGGGTCACCACAGCAAAATGACACCGATACTTTATCCAGCATATGCTTTACATAGAGGATGCCCTTCCAGCTGCAGCCCATTACTGGGAAACACCCGCACAATCTCAAGATTCACACACATACATAAAGGCCAATTGATTTTAGTCAAATCACATATAGCGCATGTGTTTGGACTGTGGGGGAAACCGGAGCACCCGGAGGAAACCCATGCCAACACCGGCAGAATATGCAAACTCCACACAAAAATACCAACTGACCTGACTCAAACCAGTAATGTTCTTGCTGTGAGGCAACAGTACTAACCACTGAGCCACCATGGCGCCAATATCGCAATATATATTGCAGAAAAACTAAATATCCCAATATCAGAATTTTCCAATATGGTGCAGACCTAATACACACTCACATTTTTTATTCTGCAAAATATCCACCTTTTTTGCTTTACAGAAATGGCCATCTTAACCAATGCAGTGCGTTAGCACACCATAATGCTGCATCACAGCTCTGAAACTAATCTCACCCTTTTTCATTCATCTGCTTTGCAACACTCCATCGCAATTTCATATGGCATATACCATACTACCCTAATAAACAGCTTTAATCCTTGATCATGAAGTTGTACTCGTTGATTTCACAAATTTCCCTTTTGCTCGGTTCCCTTCAAAATGCTGTTTTCCTCCATCTCCATGTCCCGTTTCCTCATTGACATTCATGTCCATGTCTCTGTGGTGATCAGTGATGCAGGCTCCTGTGAGACTCAGTCTTCTCAGCACACAGAGGTGTGGTTTCCTGTGCCAGCGAGCTGTGCTCCAGCCAACAATACTCGCATTAACTTCTTCCTAATGCTTCCAGCACAAGCACAGCCAAATCTAGCAGTGTTCTAACAACATTTTTACAGCATTTCAGCGGAGATATCCATCTCGACAGAGATTTGACCTCATTTTTTCACTTTAAGACAGACATTAAATCAATTTAAAATATAAAAAGACAACACATTTAATGGCTGATATGACATTTTAATATGTAATCTTGACAGAGATTCCAGTCTTCTTCTATTCAAGTAGATTGACACTAATTCTCTGTGTACTACTTTCTGGAAGGTCCTCTGAAATGTGCAGCTTTGTTTTATTTTGTGATGTAGTTTGAACATACTCAGACAGAGTGCAACATATTAATCGTTGTTGAGCTTACAACTTACAGACAAGGGAGATCTGGAACAGCATAGCAAATCATGTGGCATACAAACCTTGCACACAGAATTATTGTTGGTTAGACACGCTAGTTTGCGAAGTGCACTAATTTGTATTTTTTAGTTGCACTGAAGACTTTCTTTTCACATTGTTATTTTCTTATTTAGAGGATTGAGAGGAGATTAAGGGGATGTTTTTGTTATATTTCTTTCTTTGATCTTCTAGTGCAAGTTTCAGTTCCCTCTGCTGTTTGTCTTGATTTTTCAAATGTATTGTTTTATTAATATTGTTTGTACGTATTGTAAATATGTGGTTTGTGGAAGTGATGACTCTGTGTTTCTCTTGCCACCTTTACCATTAATTTATTCTTATGGTCATCTCAATGTTACTCCTTTGAATTTCCTAAATATATTTCCATCAAAGGTCGTAACACCCCCTTAGGGGTTGTTTTTTTTTGGTTGTCTACAGAACAAACCATTGATAAACAATGACTTGTCTAATTACCCCAACTTGCCTAACTAACATAGTTAAGCCTTTAAACTGCTCTTTAGGCTGAATACTAACATCTTTAAAAATATCAGGTAAAATATTGTGTACTGACATCATGGCAAAGATAAAATAAATCAATTATTAAAATTTTTTAATATTTTTATTTAACAGAAAATAGGGAAAATAAGTATACAGGAGACTAATCATTCAGGAGGGCTAATAATTCTGACTTGAGCTGTACATAACCAAATATGGTCACCAAATTATGCAACTTCAAGGGAATTTACTGATGCTAAAATAGCCGGATATTAAACTTACCTCCTAAGAAAAGGTTCAGCTCACACTCCAGATAATCAAACATCTCCACCGTCAACTGGAAGCTAAATGTGTTAAAAGGAGTGAAAATGTGCTTAAGGTTCATCTCACAAACACACTCCAGAGCACTTGAGAAGCTTTTAGCACACAGGCAGAGAAACACAATGCCTGTTGAAAAACAAAACAATACTCACAAATTATTGACGTCGTTCTCACCCGCTTCATCAAGCTGTCTGTTTGACATCTGAAGGTTGCCTGGGAAACGAGGATTCTGGGAAAAGCAAGTGGAGTAAATGCAATATTTGTTAGCATCTGACAGCATTCGCCTTTTTAAAATGCTTGACGAGTGCAATTTTCTCTGCTTTATTGACATGTTTTATATTGACAGAAAGCAGAGGCAAAAATTGTTCAAAAAACATGTCTGGTCTTTAAATACTGAACTTTAACAAATAACAATATGATTTGTAGTTATTATTTTAAAATGTGTTACCAATAACATATAAAGTATATGCAATCATACATTAATAATTCATTATTTTGTGAATAGAATGCATGAATATATTTTTTAAAATTTCACACACAAATATATGTTCAAAAATAATTATGATCTAATATATATAAATAAATGATTATATTGAATATTGTATATGCAGATATTATTAAAATTATTAGCCCCCTTGTGAAATTCTTTATCTTTTTCAAATATTTCTCAAGTGATGTTTAACAGCAAGAAAGGAAATTATCAATGTTACTCCTGATATTTTTTTATCCTGGAGTAATTTTATTTCTTTCAAATTGGCTGGAATAAACGCACTTTTTAAAGTCAACACTGTTAGAATCCTTTTCAATTGGCTACAGAACAAATCACTGTTGTTCCGTGACTTGCCTAATTAACCTAATGTGCCCAGTTAATCTAACTAGCCCAGTTAAGCCCTTAAACGGCACTTCAAGCTCAATACTGGTACAGTATCTTGCAAATATCTAGTAAAGGATCATGTACTGTCACTATGACAAAGACAAAAGTAATTAGAAATTAGTTATTAAACAAATTATGTTTAAAAATGTGTAAAAAAAAAAAAAAAAAAAAAGATATTCCCTCCATTACACATAAATTTGGAAATATTTGAGAAAGAATAAAAATTGATGTGAACACTGATGTGGTTGTGTGGTGAAGCCAAAGACAAATTTCCACATATGGAAGATAAAGAAAGTAAAGTAAAGTTCATATGAGAGCTAATAATTTGTATATGTTTGCTATTTAATAATAAAAACATTTTCAAATTTAAATATTCAATTCATTATTAACAAACATTTTTCTTATTTGATTAATTTAATAGCTATAAATAGAACAATAGATGAAACAAATAACACAATCAATCGTGACTTGCCTAATTAAACAAATGTGCCCAGCTAATCTAACTAGCCCAGTTAAGCCCTTAAACGGCACTTCAAGCTCAATACTGGTACAGTATAACAAATAACACAATCAACTACATTAATCCATAATAAAAATAAATGTAGGCTATTCTTTTAATGATACTATTTTTTTTAATGATTCAAATACAGATTTACAGATTCAAACCCAGAAGTTTAAACAAAAGATGCAACCAATAATGTCAAATGTTTTCAAAATGATATGCAATTACACGTATGCAAAAAAAACCTGCCAAAATGCTGTATTACAAATGCAGGGCCAGTATCCGATGCGGTCACATTGTTAGTAGAGCAGTACCTGTGGCGAAGTGATGACGTGCAATGTCTTTGTATCATTTGCTGTGTGTGAAAAACTGATTTATACTTCTGCGTCGAGTGATTGCCGTGACCTACAGTGTCTGCCTTGCGCGTATCTGTGCAATTATACTTCTGCGTGATTTTTGTGTTGCTCTGCAATAACACCTTTGAAACGCTAGCTGGCAGTAGGTGTTTATGTTCCTCTGTGTCGAGTTTCCTCACAGGTGTTTTGTTTTTTCTGAATGCTACCTTTATGTACAAGTAGCCAAAATTCCCTCATTCAGGAGCAGCAACCCGGCAGACATGCAAAAACTTTAATTATAAGGTAAACACAAAGCAAAAATTTACATCTGGAGCTTCTTAATGGCATTCGACACCTGTAACAGTGTTTCCACAGATTTAATTTAAGACTTTTTAAGACCCTTCTGAATTAAATTTTAGACTCAAAGGAAAAAAATAACTCAAAGGCTAATGAATTTTTTAAATGGCCTAGATGGAAAAGATTTTTATTTGACCTATCAAAAAAAAATTATTATTCAATACATTTAATAATACAATAATACTTTAATAATAAACAATTCAAATATTTTAGATTCTATATCCTAGCTAAATATTTTAAATATTGTGTAAAAACAAGCTCTACTTTTAACCATTCACTTTTTTCCAACATAAACTTTCTTTAAAATAAAAAAATTAATGTTTTAAAAGCTTTAAAAACTATAATAAACTAAATCTATGCACAACAATCTGTCCAGGTCAGTGTCCTCATCAGTGTTCTCATTGAGAACTTTTAATCAAATGTTACTGTAAGGAAAATAATTAAACCATTATGATAAATAGAGTTAAAAATGACCTTTTATTTTGATGGATTGTTGGTGATTGTATGGGTTTGGGCCAGATTCAATAACAATACATGAACAAAGGAAAACTAAGACCTTACAAAAATTTCAAAATTACATTTTTTGAAAGGTACATGTCATTGTCAGTAATAATTTATTAAATATTATTAAATCATTTATGAAATATGAATCACCCTTTATTAAAATTGTGTTTCTACTGTTGGTTGTAATGTAAAGTAAATCCACACTTCACTGTAAAAAAAAATGCTGGGTTTCACACAATTCCTTCATGTTGTCCCAGCACAAATCTAATAAGTTAGCTTAATCGTTTTTACAAATTTAAGTGGTTTGAACATATAATAATTAAGTTGCCCCCACAAAAAAATTACAACCGTGTTGTTTAACTCATTTTAAATAACTAGTTTGAACAAGCAGCAAAAGTTATTTTTTGAGAGTTGACATATAGGGACAGAAAATAGTGGCACTAACATGTATTCCACTGTTGTTGTGTGTTTGTTTGAGCTCGTCTTTAAACACGGACTATGCACATGCATGACATCTTTTTCAAAGACTTCTGTTTTCAAGTGTTTACATAAACTCAACAAAAGCAGTGTTTTAAATAACCTCTAAGTTTTAACATGTTTGCAGAATTATGCTGCTTTTGGTTGCAAAAACGTTGCTGTCGTGTTTTAAAACACTGTGCACCCTTAAAGGCTTAGTACACCCAAAAATGTAAAATCTGCTGTCACTCACCCCTCATTTTTTCAAAATCCATTTGGATTTCCTTCTATTAAACACTAAAGTAGTAGTGCTTGGCTAAGATTAATCGTGATTAATCACATCCAAAATAAAAGTTTGTTTTGACATCATAATATATATGTATATTTATATGTGTGTATTGTATACATTTATTTATTGAGTATACGTGATAGAAACAAAACATTTTTTTTTGCATAGATATTTAAATGTTGGTCTAATTTGTATCCTATACAATACCTATATTATGTTGTGTCTAAATATAAATATTTTCTTAAATATAAGCATCTATGTGTGTGTTTATATATACATAATTAATATACACGTTACAAATGCCAATGTTATGTCAAAATATTCTTTTTCATACAACAAGTGGCAGAAAGCAATCTTCAAAAGTTCTCCTTGTGTGTTCAACAGAGGAAAGAAACTCACTAAAGTTCAGAACCACAGGGAGGAGAATAAATGAGGTCATTTTCATTTTTTGGGTGAACTATGCCTTTAAGAGCGCAGATCAGAGGAGAACAGTAATAAGACTGATGTTCTGCTGAATCTCCTTCAAGGCCTCCGTCACTCACTTTGATGTGAAACTCCATTTTGGTGATGAGCAGTTTGAGGTAGATGCTGCACAGCTTCCCATAGCCTTCACTCAGATGACCCTAAAATAAGTTATACAAAAAACACTGATTACTTCAAAAGGAAATGATGTCGCAGGAGCAGCTAATGAGTCTCCGCTCATCAGCTCATTTCAGCATTTAGAGTTGAGTCAGTCGGGCCAGATTAAGGTCAGCTTTGGTGTTTGTTAACTTGTTTGGTTTAAACACACACACACACACACACACACACACACACACACACACACACACACACAATACAACCAGCTGCGAGTCAACTTAATGAGCTCATTCTTTCACTTCCTGTTCTCAGAAAAGTGTTCACAGGAAATGTTTCTTATGAGTCCTGCAGTGTGTTATCAGCAAATAAGCTGAAGAGGTTTCCAGTAAGCAAAAGATGAAACTCAGCGAGTTCCTTCAGACTCTTCCTGTTGGCTAGTGATGCACAGCTGATCATAAATTGACATTAGAATTGCTTTTACATTGTTGACAATGATGAGTCGATATGAAACCATGTTAATATAGTAAAAAGTCATTCATTCATTTTTTTTTTTTTTGGCTTAGTCTCTTTATTCATCAGTTGTCACACCACAGTGGAATGAACCGCCAACTTATCCAACATGTTTTACACAGCGGATGCCCTTCCAGCTGCAACCCAGTACTGGGAAACACACATTCACTCTCTCTCTATCTCTCTCTCTCACACACACACACACACACACACACACACACACACACACACACACACACACACACACACACACACACATTCATACACTACAGCCAATTTAGTTTATTCAATTCACTTTTAGTGCATGTCTTTGGACTGTGGGGGAAACCGGAGCACCCGGTGGAAACCCACATAAACATGGGGAAAACATGCAAACTCCACATACAAATGCCCACAGACCCGCCCAGGGACTCGAACCAGTGACCTTCTTGCTGTGAGGCGACAGTGCTAACCACTGAGCCACAGTGTCGTCATAGTAATAAATATTGTATTACTTTGAAAATGTGCTTTTAACTTTATTTTTTTACCCATCAGCATGATAACACATTTGTAAATAATTATCTTTTAGGATTATTTAATTCATATTATTAACACATAAGTTACGTTTTTTTTTTATTAATTTGTATTTATTTATTTTAAAAATGCATTTATAAATGTATAGATATTAAATCACTAGTAGTGCATTATTAAATGCTTATGATATATCATTTATAACAAATAAATAAACAAATATACATTAGGATAAATCATTGACTAGCCTGCATTTTAATCAGATTTTTTTTCAATCTGAAAGGAAAACAAAGATTTATCTGATTCATTATCATATTCGCTGTAATTATAAAAAGTTTCTTGTGTTTATCTTTTCTATTTTACAGTGAGACATTAAATTACCAGTGCACTATGAAATGCTTATGATATATAATTTATAAATATAAATAAATGAACAAATAAACAAATCAATGACTATAAAAATTAGAGACAATTTGTGCATTCATTATTATATTTACTGTAATTATATATATTTTTCTTTTCAACTTTACTGTGAATTATTATAATAAAAGTACACTATGAAATACTTATATATAGAAATCAATCAATCAATGTCTATCTATTTATCAGTATAAATCTGCTTTTCAATCAGATTTCTTTTTTTAATCAGGTAGAAAAACAACGTTTTATCTAATTCATGATCATATTTTCTGTCATTGTGATGTTTCTCATTTTCTTTTCTTTTTTTTCAGGTGAAATCCTACATATGTCATAATATAAATAAAAACAAACATAAATCAGCATAAACCACTATGAATTAGGATTATCTGTATATCAGTAAGATACACAATTGCACATATTCAGTCCCTTCTATGCAATGGCAAAAGAATAATCTATAAAAATGTAATACTGTATGCATAAACATGAATAGCACTCCTCAGAATATGAGGGCTGTTTGACTGATACACTCATAACAAGTAAAGCCTCGAGAGTGACAAACACACACACACACACTCACGTCATCGTTGGCTAATTACAGATCATCTCTAGCGAGTCTGACTCATACTCGCAACGCCAAGCTATTCAGCCGTCAATCAGTAGGAGCTAAATGCCTCACTGACTGACACACTGACAGCTTCCATGATCAATGGAAACTCAGGGGAACTCGACAAGGCCATATTCAATAACCAGATATATTGATCTAGTCCTCGTTTTAGTGGTAAATCGTTAAAACCACCAACCACTACTTACCCACATCCTGCTCATGTCATTTAGGTCCGCCTTGTGCCGCATAGAGTCCTTAATGACCTGAAGTGACAGAGAGGGAGACTTTTTTGACTCTTAAAACACGTTTTACTCAAACATATAACAATTCCTAAAATTGCCACTTCATAGCCATTACCACTTAAAACATAATTCTCCAGACTCTCTCGCCACAAGAGCATTTTATTCACACCACTTCATATCAAAGAAAAACAAGTTGTTTGTTAGTTTACAAAATACATATTCTAAAGTAACCCGGTACTTCACTAAAGATTTAAACATTCCCGGTAAATCCTCGTTTTCTCCATCATTTTGACAGTGATGAGATTTTAAAATGGCCAATTTTGCTTGTCCTACAAGAAATTGCTAAGTGTACATTGTGCTTTCCATTTCCGTTTTTTTTTTTTTTTTGTACTTTACTCCCATAATAAAGGTGTTTTTTGTAAACATAAAACCTAATTTGGCAAATAGTTGCATTAATAACTCAAATAAGGGAGCTCAACGAAAACAATCACAGTGAGAGAGAGAGAGAGAGAGAGAGAGAGAGAGAGTGCATTATTAAATTCAATTCTAAAATACCTTGCATTGCCTTTAGATTAGATCACTTCCAAATATATAAAAGTGAATAAATTTAATAAATAAATAAATTTAAATAATATATAATAATATTTTTAATACTAATATATAATAATAATTTAAATAATAAAATAATAAAAGATCACCATAACACTGTAGTATGAGGCATCAAATTTTTTTTATTGTAACCCACCAGTCCTACTGCACCCAAACCGGTCTGAGCTGTGATCGAACTGGCGATTCTTTAAATGGGAGTTGGTTGCTTTAACAAGAGAGCTAAAAACCATGGTCTCTAGCGTCTGTCACTAGAGCACCTTTTAGAGGTCAGTGGAGTGAGGTTTACCTGCACTTCACTAGCTGGCTTCTGTTACACTATTGATTTTTAAATAAATAAAATTTTAACATTTTAAAAACAGTAATAAAAAGGATATCATAAAGGAATTAAGTCAATTATGGAAACAATTGGATTGGAAAGTAAAAATGAGGCATTTTAATACTCCTTTTGTAATTTCTACATATGTAAAAGGAACAACTGTTGCTTTGTGTAGGAGAAAATATGGTAAAATTGGAGATCATACCCACATTTTTTGGGACTGGCCAAAGATTCAAGAACTTTGGAATAAATGTTTAAAATGAAATAGATGTGTGCTTATTAGGAGCCATACTGAACTAAAAGTGCAGTACTGTACAGTGGAAAAGTGCATTATGTATTCAGCCAATCAGATTTTTGGTACTAGTCTGTTTAAAACTGCTCAATATAGACTAAATGCAAAACACTGATGCACGCTGCGTTCACTATAATCATTTGAGGAAAATAAATCAGGGAGATATCAGGGTACTAAGTGATATGGAGTGTACTGTCAGAGATGATATGGCTGTATATACTCACGTTGGGATGGCCGTCTCGCAGCAGCTTATGGAAGACGTGGCAAAACTTCCAGCAGAGCACGGCATTGCTGGACAGGGGCAGACGGTTGACGGCCAGCCAGAATGTGTGAGCCCCTTTCTCATGATGAGTGCCCAATATACATGGTAAAGACAACCGTCAAGGACAACATGCTGAAGAAGCTTAATCAAGATACTACAGTAACCTGAACCAGGACTTGGGGAAATGAACTAACGAAAACAGTTCAAAGAATAAAAGAGCAGCCAGAGTTACACAATATAATTCATGAACCATCTGATAAACTAATGTGATAGCCAGTATACAGTAAACGTTATGCAAGCATGGATATTATATGATGATTGTAACCCCCCAAAATGACAAATGGGTCAGTTTGGTATAAAGTTCAAAGTATCTGAATCATCTGAAAATTTGGGGTATATTGGCAATATGGGGTATAATTTCAGCCAGCCAACCTCAGTCTTTGCATCATAAAATTTCTTTAAAAATCTGTGATTTTCACTACCTGATAGATATACGATATGAAGTGGGTCTCAGACAGGACAAGAATCACTGTGCTAAATTTCATTTTCCCCCACCATGTCTTTGAAATATGACAGTTTATTTTACCCCTGAGTTTCTGCACTCGCCTGCTGATCCTGACGGCTCAAGCGCTTACTGTCTTTCATCTCGTTTTACGCTTGAACAACTATGAATGCTTAAGTCTGTTTTACTGAATGTATTATAATTTCATTACAACATCGATGCTGTAAAAGCAACCTTATGAAATTGAAAAGAGTCACATTAATTTTTCACAGGAAGTGTATCATTTGCTGAAAAACACTAGCTGCGCATATACCCAATTCAATGGACAAAAAAAAAAACAAATATAAAATAAAAAATTAAATAGAATTAAAAATTTAAAATATTGGAAAACTATAACACTTTTCTATAATTTAACTAACTTAACTATAATGCTTTTCATGTTAATAAAATTAAATATCGGCAGAAAAACTGTAACAAAGAATCTTAGCATTAAGTATATGAAAAAATTATAAAATTAAAAATATATATATTTAATTAAATTAAAAAATAAATTATAGAAAAAAAATTAAAACAAAACAACAAAAACACAACAATAAAAACTTACAATTACACACAATTTCAGTGTTAAATATTAGCAGAAAAACTTAGTATAGTTTAGTATACTGAAACAAAGTATCTTAGCATTAAGTAAATAAAAAACATAAAAAATATTTTAAAAAAATAAAAATGAATTAAAATTATATAAAAATATGAATATTAAAAATTAAAATTAAATAAAATAAAAACACAAAACAATAAAAACATACAATTACATTTAATTTTAGTGTTAAATATTGGCAAAAATCTGACAGTTCAGTATACTGAAACAAAGTAAAAAAAATAATAAATCTAATCAAATAAAAAAATTATTATAATTTAATAAAAAATAAAATAAGACAAAATAAAATTAATCAATTGGCCCGTCTGAGTGTCTTAACTTAAGGTGTAAAAAATGTCCAAGAAAAGGGAAATGGTCACACTTTACAATAAGGTTCATTAGTAAATGTTAATTAATCCATTTACTAATGGGAACAAACAATGAACAATACATTTACTACTGTATTTGTTCATGTTCGTTAACGTTAGTTAACGAAAATACAGTAGTTCATGTTAACTCATGGTGCATTAACTAATGTTGACAAGCACGGACTTAGATGTTAATAATGCATTAGTTATTGTTCAATTATGATTAATAAAATCTGTACATGTGTTGTTCATGATTAGTTCATGTTAGTAAATACATTAACTAATGAACCGTATTGTAAAGTGTTACCAGTGAAATTAACTCTTGTGTCTGTTATATTGATCTTTATTTACTTTTCTTGATGCATTTAAAAAAGGCCAAAAGAAAACAAATCTATGATCATGACTTGAACTGATTTGACTTGAATTTTCCTCATAAAAAGTCCTAATTCTCTTCCTCATCCATTCCTTCATATTTCTCTTTCAGATTTTCACAAACAAGAAGGATATTCCTGGCATGCTTCTCTTTGACAGCAACCTCCTGTGTGTTGATGGCTTTATTGATGCTCACCGCCTGTGGAAGAAGAAAGAAAAGAGAAAGAAAATGAATATTTGAACCCTTGGTTCAGCCTTTCTAGCGAGAGTAAAAGATTAAAACCCAGCTCATGGCAGAAGAGTCTTCCTGTGTGCTGAGGGAAACACTGAGTTTTAGTGTTTCACTGCAGCCTTATTGAGCAACACTAACCACCGCCACACAGCCGCCAATGAATACTAATGCAGCTCTGGCCGACTGCGTTACATCCTACAAATCATTTATGACCCATCTCTCCACTAAACACACTACTAGTGGTGATGGAGTGCCAAACACAAATATTTAGTGACCGTTACAGACCAGCTAATTAGCATATTAGTATGATTTCTATAGGTGTAACAACGTACCAAGGCCTCAGTTAGGTTCAGTTCACAGTATTAGGCCCATGGTATGGTTTGGTACAGTTTGCAGCAGATCAGTGGCCTTTGCACAGACCATCCTATCTCTGTCTATTCTATCTAGTTACCTATCTATATATAAAGGCACGCAGTCTTCCTCCCATACAAACCGTATGGCTTAACCTGCAAGTCTTTACCTTACAAATTATATAGATCCTTAAGAAATGTATGCTTATTTAATTTTGTTTTTGGTTGTCAGCAAAATGTAGGCTATATAGTTATAGTAATATTTATACAATTTAGTTCTAATGATATTTATGCATGATCAAACTAGTGTACAACATAAGCAAAACTATTACTAAAATTGTTTTAAATTTGGTTTCGTAGTGCGGGCTCAAATAAATATCTGTTGCATTTCTTAATAGTTTGAGCTCATTTGATTAACTATAGCCCCTTTCACACAGTGGAAATATTTCAAAACCGGTAAATATCCGAAAAACATCCAGAACGACTTGACCAGTAAATGCATAAAAAAGGTGTTCACACAGGCACAGACATTACACATTTTTCCAGAAAAGATCGTTCACACATGCGTTCCAAAATACCAGTAAATTCTGACCAAAATGACCTATAAAAGGCAGTGCTTGTTTTTGTAAACTTAGTAGAGGTCAGCCTTTTTTTTGATGGTTTAACTTTTATTTAAAGGGCCACGAAACCCCCGTTTCAAAAGGGTGTTTTTTTACCCCACTAGATTGGAAAAAGTAAAAAAAAATGGGTATGTCTAGCTCTGTTTAGCTGGGAGTGTCGGGGGAGGGAAAGAGGGAAGGTTTTGGATAAAAATGGGAGCTTCCATTTAGGCACGTGCTGATTTACACAGAGGCAAAACAAACACACAGACGCAGGGGAGAAAGAAAGTGACTGTGCTTACATGGACATCAGTAATTGAATTGAAAAGTTGAATTAATCGAATTATTTTCCAAATCATTACTTTGTCGACTTTAACTGCAGTCTGGCACTTTCACTTTCATTCAGGAACATTTTATGCTTGCCCCCCATAACAATCCAGATATTGGATGCGAGGATGAACGGCCGAAAGAGTGCAGTTTTAATGGAATGTTTGTAACCACACATATAAGAGAAAAAAAAACCCTCTGCATTTCTCTGTAACTTAGATGCACTCGATAGGTAGCGTCAGAAAGTTGTGCGTGTATAGACTATCTTATCACAAAATGCGGCGAAAAATCTACACAACGGTAATAGTTTGATTGTGGTGTTTACATGTTTACACTCGAAAAACAGAATTTACAGCGGATCTTTCAGTCCACAATATTGTAGTGATATTAACGTACTGTAAACTTAGTAACTCAGAAATCATTTTGACTAAAGTATGTCTTACTGAAAGTGTACTGCTGATGATACGAACTAACTTTGCCATCTGAATAAACAAAGACCACTGATCGCTTACTTACCAAATCGAATTAGCTTGAACGCAAAAACAACTAATTTTCACCTTTATGTGTCCTAACAGTATTTTTAGCAGCGTGGGACACGTATATGACTGTCCTCAGCTCAAAAAATGTGTTTTATTGTTTCGTGACCCTTTAAGGCTTTAGCGTTCATGCAGCTGCTTTGTGAGACATCCAAAGGAAGAAACGCGAACCCCAGCTAAATGTTTACACATTTAACTACATTACAAATTATGTGGATGGATAAGTATTGTGAACAACTTGTATGAAAACAAATGGAGGAACACTTTCACATGTCCAAATGTTCATAATATGTTTGTGCTGGCTCTTACCGGCTCCTTCACGTGCACACGCGTCAAGCACAGCTTGAAGGTAAACAAACAGCGGTTAATCATAAGCATTTTATCTGTATTTTTTGACACCGTTGGCATTAAGAAGGAATATAGAAACGTTTTCGGACTAACATCTAGCAATAAATGTGTCTGGAAAATTATTCAAAGGCTTTTAATTTCAAAAACTGTGTGGATGTGAATGTGTCTGAGTGTTCTGATTGGCTAAAGTAGATCTCACATCAGCACATTCTTCTGCATTCACACAGAGCAGCTTTCCAGCAAATTACCGGTAATGTTACAACTTCTCTTTCCGGAAAATTGCCTGAACGAATTTGCTGGTATTTTCAAAAAGGGCCTCTTCACACATACTAAAGGTCTGTATGTGTGAAAGGGGCTTATATAAAAATCTGTGTTTACTACAGATGCGTTTACTGTGTAAAACTCCTACTTTTTACTGTCATTCAATGTCTTTTTGGCCATTATAACTGCACTGTCACTTTAATTAAGCATTAGCAGCGCAGCAAAAATAGACCCAGCGCCGAAACTATCGTGGTACTGCTGCTTCAGCGCCGCTCACGCTCCATGCTAACGTGCTGCTTCTGCGTGCAGTATGAAAACTCTAATCTGTTAACATGTATGCTGAAAAAATGCTCTGCTTGTGCTCTGGCAGCAGGAATATTACAGAACACTACATTTATTTTGACTTAACAGGAATAATTCAACTTAAAACCTTAATTATCTTTATATTCTGGCTTCACATGTCTCGGTTTAGTATAGTCAGCTGATATGAGTAAACTAAAATGAAATATAGGTCTGTCACAACAACGAATATATTGACTTAATCCCACAACACATGGGCATTACCTCAATTGTTTTTGGTGATGCAATATACATCACCCATACATAAAAAAACAATTCTAGCCACATTTTAGCCGATTGTGCGACATCTCTATCTCTGTTGGAGGTGTCAGTGTCAGTATGGTTAAAAAAAAACACTAGCATTTACAATAAATTACCATAGTATATTTTCTGTCTGACAACTGAAAATAGATCTGGTAGTAGATAGTCCCAGTCTCTGTTACTTTTTACCTTGCACTTTTTGGTTAATATTTATTATTATTTACTTGTTTAGGATATATGTTTTCACATTGCAATTCCAATGCATGATTATTATAATGTTAAATTGACTATAATTAAATAAATTATTCTTAAATATAAAATATTATGTGTTCTTCGGTAGAGTGTACTTGCATTATGATGCTATTATATTTTCATTCTGGTGTTAAATAATGAGTGGCATAAAAATGACAATAATATTGTTTATCGCAATATATTTTGGGGCAAAATATCGAACAACAAAAAGGTCGATATCGTGACAGGCCTAATCTACACAGCAGAATACTCACGCTCTATCTATCCATCCCTTCATCCATCCATTAATCCATCCATCCAGATTTTTTCAGTTTGGTTAGAATATCATTACACCCCTAATGGTTTAACGAAGGAGTTTGTAACACTGAAATTCTGGAGTCATGATGATGCTGAAATTTCAGCTTTAAATGACAGGATTAGATATATTTTTAAACTACATTCAACAAAAAAAAGTGTTATATTAAATTGTAATATTTTTGTACAGTTTTAACTGTTTTCAACTATTGAAAAAAATTATGTAGTCATGGGAAGCAAAAGAGACTGCTTTTAAAAACATTTTACAAATCAATGATGCTCAACTTTGGACCTGTAATGTATATGCTAACAATATTGGGAGCTCTGAAGCAGAACAAACTTGAAAAAGCATTAGCCACATGTTCTCTTTCCAGTTTCTGCCATGGATGACAAACCAGCATCAATTCTGGGTATAAAATCGCTGCCTTGTAAATGTAAACAGTGTTCCTGTTTAAACAAGCATCACATATTCGGCATGGTCAGCTGAACGTAATGAACCCTTATCAGCCCATCAGATACTGCACATGGGCTGCATGAGCCAATTAAGGTGTGGCTGCGCAGTCGAGTCTCTCAGTCTCACTTCCTCTGAATAATCTTTTTTTGTGTGTTTAGAGAAACACAACGTTTCCAAAATGCCTGCAGTATGTGAGCAGTATTATTTGTATGCATATTATTTATGTGCCAATACCCAGACGACCTACTACTTGTGAGAAGACTTTGAAGTATGCATTTGATGGAGATTTTACGATCCCATAAGGCACTGATCCAAAACGTGAGAATATTCAATCGAACCGACTCCATTTCGTATTGCAAGACCACGTGTAAAGGATTTATATTAAGAGTTACCTTCATTGATAAATGAATAAACATTGTAAATCAACAGTTTTGTATGTCACTCGTATGGCGAGGCAGTGGCGCAGTAGGTAGTGCTGTCGCCTCACAGCAAGAAGGTCATTGGGTCGCTGGTTCGAACCTCGCTCAATTGCGGTTTCTGTGTGGAGTTTGCATGTTCTCCCTGCCTTCGAATTATAATAATCCCCTGCCTCCCTTCCCATGCCTCCGGGTGCTCCGGTTTCCCCCACAGTCCAAAGACATGCGGTACAAGTGAATTGGGTAGGCTAAATTGTCCATGGTGTATGAGTGTGTGTGAATTTGTGTGTGGATGTTTCCCAGAGATGGGTTGTGGCTGGAAGGGCATCCGCTGCGTAAAAACCTTATGTGGTTGTCGCGAACTGAAGAGCGAGGGGGTGGGGTGGTGTTGGGGGGGTTTGGGGTCGTTGGAGCAGGGGCACTTCAGATCATTTTTAGGGCATTTTCTACAGACCTTTTTCTTTACTGCTGTTGTATAAAGGGCGCCATAGCGACCAGCGTCTTCCGGTAGAATGCTAAGTATTTACATT